AAAAAATAATAGCTGCTGGAGAGGGTGTGGCGAAAAGGGAACACTTCTACACTGTTGGTGGGAGTGCAAACTAGTACAGCCTCTGTGGAAAACAGTATGGTGATTCCTAAAAGCTCTAAATATTGACCTCCCATATGACCCCGCAATCCCCCTACTGGGAGTATACCCTGAAGAACTCAAATCACTCTATAAAAAGATACACACGTATGTTTATTGCAGCACTGTTTACAATAGCAAGAACCTGGAAGCAGTCATGCTGTCCATCAAAAGAGGACTGGATTTAAAAACTGTGGTACATATACATGATTGAATACTATGCAGCCATAAAAAAGAACAAAATCATGAATTTTGCAGCTACCTGGACGGAACTAGAGTCTATAATACTGAGTGACCTCTCACAGAAACAAAGATCTGAGTATCACATGTTCTCACTCATATAATGGACCTTGAACATCCAATGTAATACTATAAGAAAATGACTGACAGTGATGGGAAACTATGTGGGGGAGGGGAAGGGAGATGGGATTAATGGTAGTAAATATCTGTCTGGGGATGGGGAGACACCTCTTATCAACAAGGGTGCCTGAACGAAGCATATTTGTATATCTAACCCTTAACTGTACCCCACAATATCATAATTAAAATATTGATAAAAAAAGAAAGACTAATAAAAGTGAATTAAATTAATATAGAATGAATAAATTGACTTCACAGAATGCCCATATATGACATGGAGAAGACAAGAGTGAAGGCAAGGTTGTAGACAGCCATCTCTAGAATATCCACCACTCAGTGTTACACGGGTATAAAGAGGAAGCCACATAACTTAATGGAAAAGGGTTTCCCAGTGTTCAGAGACTCAACACCTACTTCCTACGGAACTGCTATAGGCATCTTATTACGAGAGCTATGAAAAAAAAAAGATTGGTAGTTTGGAGGGCTTAGAGAAATAGGTGGAAGAAGGCCATCTTAAACTGATGATTATGTAAAACCTAATAACAATTTGGTTTTGGCTCTAGATTGAATACATCTTCCTTAACAACATGCTTTGCACTCTGAACAAGTACATCTAGAAAATCTCTTAATTGTTAGATAAATTATCTCCTGATAAAGATCAAGGGGAGTTTATTGAGCAAGACACATCTAGGCCAACATTAGAGACATTTAAGAAGTCTACAGACTTTTAATACCTACTCCACATGCAAATCCTCCAATTCATTAGTTACATCAGCAATAGTGGGGAGTCTTTATTAATCCTGATGATATTTTTTTGTTAAGAATATCAGTGAAGGTAAGCCTTAGTGACATAGTCCATGAAAGTACCTATGAAGCATATCTAGAATGTCAGTTTGATAGGTAACTTGAGTTACAGTGACCTCTTTGTGCTAGTATATTAATTCATTAAGTATAGCTGTGTCTTTAGGAAACTATATAGTGCTTGAGAGTTTCCCAAAGAAGGCCTAAAATGCATAAAGGCCTAACATTCCCCAATCAGATGGTCTGTTGAGTTCCCATCACAAAGCTTGTTCAAAGGCCTGTGATTCATGCTTAGATCCTGAGTTTTTAAAAAGCCACATCAGTGCCTGGCACACGGTCTGTGCTTAGTTAAATATTTATTGAATGAATGTTGAAAAAGATATTTCTGGTAATACCTCCTAGAAGTTTTCTTTGATTTCATATTCCTCATGCTCCTGTTCTAGGTGCCCCAGAATGAGAGTCACTATTGCTTCACATATGACTTCCTCATATATTATAAATCCTCAATAATGATTCCTAGAGTAATGGTGTCTGTGTTCTTATGGAATAAATACTGCTGCTGCTCCTTCATATTCCCATCGCATTTGAAAAGAGAAATTGGTTCAGGGATCCAAGCATAGAGACCCATCTGAGCCTTCCCCAGTGCTTTACCCATCACAGCCTTGAGTTTCATGCCTGGCTCTATGAGTCCCATAAGAACCCCAAAGCCTGCTGATTTTGTGTGAGAAGACTTGGAGTTAGTAGAGGCCTTGATCAGCTAATTGTCTTGGAGCCTAGCCTATTCCAGGTCCTTCTGTCAAATAGTTTTGACATCTCCAGTCCCTGTGCGTGCGCGCGGGACACACACACACACACACACACACACACACACACACACACACAGAGGCAGTTTTAACAGGGATCTCTTCTTCAGCTATCAGAAAAGTAGCTTCTCTGGCAGGCAATTCCCACCATTTTCCACGAAAGGATGCCTTGTTTCTTTAGCTCCACTGCTCCCCTATATATCAGGGTTTCTGCTCAGTCCTATCTTTGGGCAAACTAGTGCTGCTTGAGGATCCTTGGTGAGAGTTGAAAGGCATACATTGAGGCCTTAACACCAAAGCAGGAGCAGGCATCTCTGATACCTCTGAGAAACCTGGAACCAGGACATCTAGTCATTCCAAATCTATAGCCTTTCTAATGCCCACCTATCATGCTTACTCCTCATCCCAAAAGGAATGAAGCAAGAAAGCATCTACCTGTCCTCTACAGACAGAACAGATCCCAAAAATCTCAACCTCCTGCACTTCAGAGATGTCCATATATAGGAACCCAGGAAGGGAGAAACTGGAAGTACCCAGCGCACCTAACTGACACCGAAAACCCTTGACTTGTCCCAGGACGCTGCCCTCCTGGCATTTCCGGCCCTCCCCCAGATCTGCTTCAAATCACGCCCCTCATCCATTCTTTAGGTCCTCCATTGGCTGCTGCTTTAAGGAAGTGGAGCACTTGCCATCCTTGATTGGTTTCTGTCATTATTAAAGGGTCACAAATGAGGCGTGCCTGGTCTCCCGGGTAACGCCCCGCGGATAGCCCTCATTGGTTGATGTCTTAATTCCATCATCCGTCCCAGCTGTTTGTGGCTGAGTCCCTGGCGGGACGCTGCACAACCAGACGACGGTGGTGGTAGGTGTTCCCTACGCTTCGGAATTAGACGTGGCTTGTATTGGGAAGCGGGCAGCTGGAGCCTCCGGCAGCACCGCTCCCAGGTGAGTGTGGGATGCTCCGCAACTCCTCCCCTCTGTGAGTTCAGTAACCTGTCATCCCCGCCCCAGAGGCTGCGGGGCTGCTGTGCGGACAAAACTGACGTGGGCGCTTTTCTTCGTAGCTCCTAGAGGAGAAACGTCCTAGGAGTGGAGAGACCCCGAGGAAGTGCCCCGAGTCTGCGCAGGGCCACACCGAAGACCCTCCGGGGAGGCCAAGAGGCTTGTGGGTCACTAGAACTGGGTCTGGTAGGTGAAGGGAGGCGGGTGAAGGGCCAGATCCCAGACCGAATCTGGGAGAGGCGGGGCTGGAAGAGGACTCGAGTGTGGCGGCTCCCGTAGCCCCCGAGGTCCCATAGCATTATGACCTCCAGGCCCGTTAGATGGGTTGCCAGGAAAAGTCTTACTGAGCTGATGTTTGAACCTCACAGCGTTATGTCATCATTAGGATTAGGATGCATGTATAGTGGACTAGCTGAGTGCACAGTAAGAGTCAATAAATTCAGACTAATATTATTCTGCCAAGACAGTGACTGGAATGTCCATTGGGAGTTGGCTGCTTTACTTAGGGGCTGAAGGAGAGCATGCGTGACTTCTGCTGGAGCTCCACACTCACAACCCTGGGCCTGAGCCCTCAAATCCCACTTCGTCAGAGGCACAGTCTTACTGGTCACTACCTCTCACACGCCTGTCCTTAGAGACATCGCGGATCCTTCTTCATACTGACACCGGGTTCCGATCCGAATTCCGTCACAAAGTCGTTGTCTAACTTTGGACAAGTCACTCCTCTGGTTCTCATTTTTCATCCACAAACGAAAAGGTCATACTAGAGGACCTACTAAGCGGCTCTCATACCTTATGATTCTAAGAGCCCGTATCCCCACTCCCTTCTCACAGCTCATTCAACAATCCTAACGGCAGCTGGTGCCTACAGTCCGAGGTCTCTGCAGAAGCCCAAGGAGTGCTCTGGGTCAGTCTCAGCCAAGGAAGGGAGAAAAGGAAGGTACCCAGCGCACCCACGGACACCAAAACCACTTGACCTTCCCTGCCACACCACCCTCCGGGCATTTCCGGTCCTCCACCATCTGCTTCCGGGACACTTGCTGGCGTCCAATCACGCCCCACGCCCCTCATTCATTCTTTAGGGTCCATTGGCTGCCGCTTTAAGGAAGCGGAGCACTTGCCTTCGTTGATTGGTTTCCGACATTGTTGATGGATCACAAACGAGGCGTGCCTGGTCTCCCTGGTAACGCCTTGCTATCGGCCCTCATTGGTGGACGCCTTAATTCCGTCTTCCGGCCCAACTGCTAGTGGCTGAGTCCCCGGCGGGGCGAGGCGGCGGTAGCTGTAGGTGTCGGTATGGGATTCCCGAGCTGACGTGGCTTGGATTGGGAGGGGGTGCAGCTGGAGCCTCCCGCGGCACCGCTTCCAGGTGAGTGCGGATGCTCCCCAACTCCTCCCTCTGCGAGTCCAGCAACAGTCATCCTCCCCGCGGGGGCTGCTGAAGTCGCCACACTCGAGTCCCCTCCCAGCCCCGCCTCCCCCGATTCGGTGTGGGATCCGGCCCTTCACTCGCCTCCCTTCACCTCCCAGGCCCAGTTCTAGTGACTCACAAGCCCCTTGGCCTCCCCAGAGGCCTTGGGGGTGGCCCTGCGCAGACTCGGAGCACTTCCTAGGGGTCTGTCCGCTCCCAGAGGAGAAACGTCCTGGGAGCGGTGGAGAAAAGCGCCCAGGTCAGTTCCGTCCGGCCGGCCTTGTTCCCGGAGCGGCCTTTTTAAGCCGCTGACGTGAAGAGAACCAGCCTAACCTCAGCGCTCAGGCCCTAAACAAACTTAGTGTCCCGAAGGGGAGGCGGGAGCCAGACAAATCAAAGGTCTCAACGGCGGAAATCACAGAAACACTGGAGATATTAGTGCAAACTGAGGCTGTTCAGTGAGCCTGCTCATGCTAATGGGTTGCTGGAAAGATGAGAAGGAAGGAATGATCCCTGCCATCGCATCAACACTAGAATCCCAGGAGTCAGAAGTGGGCAGGCTGTTAGAGAAAAGGGACCTTGAAGAGAATTCTGGAGGCAAAATAACTTGATTTGATGGTGTGGAATATGTTTATTCTGTATAACTGGAGTGTGAAGGGGAGGGTTAGTCCTTGACAAATGAGGAATATATTTGTCTCACTTATTTAAAGAGCGCCAGTTGGTGTTTGGGGAGAGGACAGTTTGAGTGAGATAGAAATATTTAAAATCATGGATAAGCACTTTCACTTTTGGAGATAGTTGGAAGCTGTCCCAACACTTGAAGGACCAGTTTACTGCTCTGTGCGAGATAGCAGTGGAGAAATTCTTATGGAAAGAAAGGCTGGAGGCCTTTCCAGAAGCATGAATTAATAAGATTTGGATGGTCAGAATGATTATGAAGGCTCAAACTCAGGAAATAATCTGTTGGAAAATGGCAGGATTTGGTCTTGGAATATAGGCAAAAGTTGAAGAGTACTCAGAAAATTGCACACACGGTACATTGACTGCCTAACACCTTTCACTTCTCATCCCTTGACCACAGAATGACAATATAATACTTTACTCTTCATTGCATTAAGTTTGTTTGACTAGTTCAGTAGTTTCCAAACTTTTCTTTTTTTTTTTTTTTGAGTAGGAGTCTCACTGTCACCCAGGCTGGAGTGCAGTGGCATGCTCACGACCACCACAGCCTCGACCTGCTGGGCTTAGGTGATCTTTCTGCCTCAGTCTTCCAAGTAGCTGGAACTACAGGCATGTATCACCACGCCCAGCTAATTTTTTAAATTTATTGTATTGAAGTCTTGCCATATTTCCCAGGCTGGTCTCGAACCCATGGGCTCAGGCAATCCTCTCGCTTCTGCCTCCCAAAGTGCTGGGATTACTGGCATGAGCCACCACCTTCGGCCTTCCAAACATTTTAAATTGCACACCCTATCAATGAAACATTTTTGAGCATGCATCTCTCCAAGTATTGTTTATTTAATTGTGGATAATGTATGAATACCATTGAAAATATATTATATATATTATAAAATATAAATCTAAAAGAATGAAATTTTTAAAAAGTCTTGCTTACACTGTGGGCTACTCCCAACTTAATTTGAAGATCACATACATGTGCTTTCTTGTTTTTCAAGAAGGTTGTTTGCATCTCTGGCATTTCTGAGGACCACCAAACTGGGGGTGCCCTCCATTATTCTGGGATACAGCACCTCCTAAAAATAATCATCTTTAGAAGTTTTTGGGTTTTTTTAAACTTTCTGCTTGAGTTTTAAAGGCCTATTCTCCTTTTCTCCCTTTGAATTAATGGATTAAAGAGATGCTGATTTTATCCTTATTTAAAATAAATCATTCATTAACTTTTCTAGGTTTACTATTAAGAATATATTATTTGGGACACATTACCATGGATCGTTACATACCAGCCTTTTGTTAGGAACCACGATGTAAGAGGATATTAGGCCATATAACATTGTATTTTTAATTAAACTATTTTAAAATCAGCTATATGTGCTTTTGATAAAAGGAAATTCAATACAGAAGGATATAATAGCCTTATCTACTTTCATCCTTATCTACTGGTTCTCTTCTTCATTCCCCACTTCCCACAAGTAATTACGACAAATACTTTCTTGGCTAGCCTTAAATTTTCTGATTATAATGAAGCGTCTATATAAATATACCCTCCTCTTTTTCTCCCCACAAGTGGAATCCTCATACATGTGCTATTTTACACCTTTCTTTTGCCACTTAATACTGTGTATTAAGCACTTTCAATATCCATGAGTATAAAACAGCCTCATTCTTTTACATGGCTACATAGCATTCCCATGAGGAAACATAAAAAATGTATTTAGCTTGTGCCTTGTTGATGGACATTTAGATTCTGATTGTTAGCCCTCAAACATTGCTGTAGCGAACATTTGTATATATACATATACACACGGGCCCTAGGAGATATATCTAGATCTATAGAGAGAGAGAGGATTACCTGAGCCCATGGGTTCAAGACCATATATGTCTCCTAGGGCCCTTGTGTGAGCCTATCTGTGGTATAAACAAAATAGAATTATCTGGGGCTATACTATGAATCATTTTAAGTTATACACTCTTCAAAACAGCACCTATAACTATTAATATAGTGCCTTAATGCCCTCATTCCTATTTTCATACTGGGTGAAGAATATTGTGTGATGAAGTTATTCAGAAAATAGAATATCTTTTGTGTACACCTTTGTCAAGTTCTGACTGGGAAATTTACTTAACTTCCCTGTGCCTTGGTTTACTTACCTTATAATTGAGGATCTTGATAGCACTTCTCCCTCGGGTTGTTTTAAGAATGAGTTAAATAATGAAAATAAATTATATGTAAAGCAATTGGAACAGTGCATGGTGGGTAGGGCTGTGTAAATGTTATAGTTACTATTTACTTTTAAATTTAATGAAAATAGTGACTTTCTTATATCATGAAAAATAGTTTTTCATTTTCTAAGTAAAATTATATAATATTGAATATACTTTTCCAAGCTATATAGCACTACCTTCCTATTAGCTCTTCAACCTGGTTGAGATACACTTTGAGAATTAAGGAAAATTACTAAAGCTGGACTAAATATGCATGAAGCAAATTTGAGAAGTAGAAGTGACTAAAATGGAAATCTAATCATCTTTTGTGTTTTTCTGTGGGAAAATGTGGTTTAAATTCCAAAGTAAATGGCAGGTCTGAGTACCCACTGTCTTCAGTTATTTTGCTTATTTTCCTGTGTATCTATATTTTTGTACTTTTCTAGTTCCTAGCATAATGATATGTACCAGCTAGGTATTTTAAGGATTTTATATATATATAAAATATATGTATTTTTTATTATTTTTTATTTTTTTGAGTCAGAGTCTCACTCTGTCATTCAGGCTGGAGTGTGGTGGTACACTCACGATCACTGCAGCCTCAACCTGCTGGGCTCAGGTGAATCCTTCCACCTCAGCCTTTCAAGTAGCTGGAGCTACAGGCATGCACCACCATGCCTAGCAAATTTTTTTCTAAAAAATTTATTGTAGAGACAAGATCTTGCCAGATAACCCAGGCTGATCTCAAACCCCTGGGCTCAGGCAGTCCTCGAGTCTCTGTCTTCCAAAGTGCTGGAATTACAGGCATGAGCCACTATGTCTGGCTAGTTTATTGTTCTTTTAATGGGTATTTTCATATATATATACACACACACACACACACACACACACACACACACACACACACACACACATTTTGGTGAAGTATTCATTCAGATATCTTGCACATTTCTTTATCAGGTTTTTTGCTTTCTTGACGTTGAGTTTTAATTTAATTATTATTATTTTATTTTATTAGATTTTATCATAGAGACATAGGGTACAAGTGAGGATTAACTACATAAATAGGCTGCATACAGGTGAAGTTTGGACTTCTAACTGGCTCTCACTCCCCCTGGTTGTAGACCAGAGTACCCTTTGTGTTGTCACATGCCCCCTTGCCCTTCTCCCTTTTTCCCCTAGCACCGTCCAGTGACTGCCCATCCTTCCTTTGTGCTAATGGGGACTGATGTTCAGGGTTCATTTATGAGAGCATGCAGTATTCAGTTCTTTGTTTCTGTGATAGTTCACTTAGTATTATAGTCTCCAACTCCATCCAATTTGCTATGAATTCCATGATTTTGTTCTTCTTTATGGCTGCTTAACATGCCATCGTGTATATGTATCACACTTTCTTTATCCAGTCCGCTCTTGATGGGCAGTAGGGTTGGTTCCATATTTTTGCTATTGTAAATAGTGAGGCAATAAACACGGTGTGCAGATGTCTTTTAAGAAATTTTAATTTTTTAAAATTTTCTGGATACAAGTTCTTTACTAGATGTTATTTGCAAATATTGTGTCTCAATCTGTGGCTTGCCTTTTTTTTTCTTAATATTGTCTTAACAGAAGTTTTACATTTTTATAAATGCTTAGTTATCAATTTTTAAATTATGTATTATGCTTTTTGTGTGTCTAAAAATTCATTGTCAAATGCAAGGTCACACAGGTTTTCTCATGTTATCTTCTAGAAGTTTTAAAGTTTCACAATCTAAGTTTAGGTCTCTGACCAATTTTGAGGTATTTTTGGATACAATGTGAGTTATGTGCCACTATTCACTTCATGCAGATGTCTAATCTGCTACCATATGTTGAAAAAATTGTCCTTTTTCAACTTAATTGCATTTGTAACTTTGTCCAAAATCAGTGGACTCTATTGTGTGAATCTGTTTCTAGGTTCTCCTTTCTGTTCCAGTAATCTATGTGTCTATACTTTTACTAGTGCTGTACTGTCCTGTAGTTGCAGGGTTTTTTTTCATTAATTTAATTTTATTTATTAATTAATTTATTTTTGAGTTGGAGTCTCACTCCGTCGCCCAGACTGGAGTGCAGTGGCACGCTCCCTGGCGACTGCAGTCTCGACGCACTGGGCTCTGGCAGTCCTTCTGCCTCAACCTTGCAAGTAGCTGGAACTACAGGTGCGTGCTACCACATCCGGCTAATTTTTGATTTATTGTAGAGATGAGGTCTCACCATGTTGCCCGGGCAGGTCTCGAATCCGCGGGCTCAGGCAATCCACTCACCTCGGCCTCCCAAAGTACTGGGATTACAGGCTGAGCTACCGAGCCTGGCCTTAGTTGCAGTTTTTTAAGTTCTGCTTTCCTTGTCTTTTTCTATAAGTTTTAAAGTCAGCTTTCTGATGTTTACTAAAAGCTTGGCAGAGATTTAGGTTGGGAATGTACTAATTTTATAGATTAAAATGGGCAGAATTGATACCTTAACAATACAAAGTCTTCAATCCATGTACATGGTTCATTTATACATTCACTTAACTTTTAAGAATTTCTTTCATTTGTTTTTAGTTTTCAGCATACAAATCCACATATTTTTGTTAACTCTACACAAAAAAAATCTTTTTTTTCAGTGCTATTATAATTGGTACTGTATTCATTTCAAATTCCACTTATTCTTTGGAATAGGAATGCAGTTGACTTTTTGTTTGTTTGTTTGTTTTTTGAGTTGGAGTCTCACTCTGTCGCCCAGACTGGAGTGCAGTGGCACGCTCCAGGCCACTGGAGCCTTGGCCCGCTGGGCTCCGGCGATTCTTCCGCCTCAGCCTCCCGAGTAGCCGGAATTACAGGCATGCGTTATCACGTCTGGGTGATTTTTTGATTTATTGTAGAGATGAGGTCTCGCCAAGTTGCCCAGGCAGGTCTCGAACCTGTGGGCTCAGGTAGTCCACTCACCTCAGCCTCCCAAAACGCGGGATTACAGGCTGAGCCACCGAGCCCAGCTTGTGCAGTTGGCTTTTATATAATTGATTATATTATCCTGCAACCTTGCTAAATTCACTCATTAGTTCTCGGGGATTTTTTAAAGGAAAGTTTTCTGTGGACAATCATATCTTTTGTTAATTGAGACTACTTTATTTCTTCCTTTCCATTTGTATGTCTTTCATTTCTTTTTCTTATCTATTGCACTGGCTAGAACTTCCAGTATGGTGTTGAATAGATGTACTAAGAGACAACATCTTTGCCTTGTTCCTGCTCTTATAGTGAGAGCATTCAGCATCTCAACATTAAGTATAATATTAACCATAGGTTTGTTTTTTTTAGATTCCCTTATTAGGTTAAGGGTATTTTTTTCTGTGCTTAGTTTGCTGAGAATGAATTATTTTCATTATGAATTAATAATTATGAATGGATGTTGAAATTTGTCAAATGCTTTTTTTGGAATCTATTGATGAGATAGTTTTTCGTCTTCAGTTTATTAATATGGTGACTTTTTAAAAAATATGTATTTTTTATTTTAAAATTGTGGGGTACAGTTAAGGGTTAGGTATACAAATATGCATTGTGCAGGTACCCTTGTTGATGAGGTATGCCCCCCTGGTCCCCAGACAGATATTGACTACCGTTAATCCCACCTCCCCTTCCCCTCCCTACCCCCCTCATAGTTTCCCGCCACTGTCAATCCATTTCTTATAGTATTACGATAGTTGTTCAAGGTCCGCTTATGAGTGAGAACATGTGATACTCAGATCTTTGTTTCTGTAAGAGATCACTCAGTATTATAAACTCTAATTCCATCCAGGTTGCTGCGAAATTCATGATTTTGTTCTTCTTTACATCTGTGTAATATTCTATAGTATAACTTATTTTACTAGACCAGCACTGCCCTAATACTAAAAGCAGACAAAGATACTACAAGAAAACTATAGACCAACATTCCTCATGGTCATAGTCAACAAAATATTCAAAATACTCAACAAAATATAAGCTAATTAAATCCAATAATATATAAAAGGCTAATATAGCACAACCAAATGGGGTTAAGAAAAGCAAAGCAAAATAAATGAAAATCAATTGATGAAATTCACCATATTTAAAAAAAATTTTAAAAAAATACTTAAAATTTTAAAAAAATATTAAAAAATTTTTTTAAAATGGTGAATTTCATCAATAGATTTTCATTTATTTTGCTTTGCTTTTCTTAACCTCATTTGGTTGTGCTATATTAGCCTTTTATACATTATTGGATTTAATTAGCTGATATTTTGTTAAGTATTTTGAATATTTTGTTGACTATGACCATGAGAATTGTTGGTCTATATAGTTTTCTTGTAGTATCTTTGTTTGCTTTTAGGGCAGTGCTGGTCTAGTAAAATAAGTTATACTATAGAATATTGGTCTATAGGGTTTTTCCTTTTCCTCTTCTCTTTTCTTCTTCTTCTTTTTTTTTTAGTTGGAGTGTCAACCTGCTACCCAGGCTGGAGTGCAGTGGCATGATCATGCCTCACAACAGCCTCCACCTCCTGGGTTCAAGTGGGTCCTTCCGCCTCAGCCTCCTAAGTAGCTGGAACTATAGACACACACCAATATACCCAATTATTTTGTTTGATTTTTTTGTGGAGATGAGGTTTTGCTGTGTTTTCCAGGCGATCTTGAACTTCTGGGTTCAAACAGACCTCTGGTCCAGCCTCCCAAAGTGTTGGGATTACAGGCGTGAGCCACACCCAACCTGTAGTGTTTTTTTTAATTCTTGTAATATTGTTCTCTGCTTTTAGTATTAGGATGATGCTGGTCTGGTAAAATAAGTTATAAAGTGTTCCCTCCTATCTTCTGGCAGAGATGATATAAAATTGGTGTTATTTATCCCTGAATGTTTGTTGTAACTTGCTAATGAAACCACCTTTGACCTGAATCTTTATTTTTCAGAAAGCTTTTAATAAAGTATGTATTCAATTTCATTTTTACATGTGTATATATGTATGTATAATCACATATGTGCACCCACACACATCTACCCATATATATATATTTATACAGGTTCTCTATTTTTTTCTTGAGTTTGGTAGCTTGTCTCTTTCAATAAATTGACCCATTTTATCTATATAAATGAATTTATGAGCATAGGGTTATTTGTAGTATTTATTATCTCTTAACGTATGTTAGATTAGTAGTGATGTCCCTTCTTTCATTTATGATGTCCTCTCTATCTTTTTCTTGGTCAGCCTGACTAGAGCTTTGTCAATTTTATTCTAAAAGAACCAATTTTTGGTTTTATTGGTTTTTCTCTTTCTATTTTAGATTTTGTATTTTGTATCTGCTCTCATCTTTATTTCCTTTTTTTTGCTTATATTGGTTTTAATGTATTCTTTTTTAAATTTCCTACAGAAGCAAGCATAGGTTACTGATTTCTTTTTTCTTTTCTAACATATGCATGTAATGCTATACATTTTCTACAATGTTTGTATTTAAATTTTTAGCAAACCTACATGATTTATCAGGAAAGTGTCTTGAAAGAATGGGGTTTATGGGGCACAGAAAAAAATTTTTGCAGAATCATGGGGTTTACTTTAAAAAGTGGGAGACAATAACAGGCATAGAAAGAAAGACAAAAAAATTAATGTTTGTAAATTAAACTGCTATGAAAGAAAGGGCATTAAAGTTAATCTTTAAGGTGTAATTAACAATTATGTATTTGTATTTAACAAATATATAATTGCTATCATTTTATTTAAAAAATGATATTAGTGATAGTGATGATAATCTATGTGATTGCTACTGAAAATAACAGTGTATGGCCACACTATACATACTCAAATGCCTTTTGGAAGACATTATCATGCTGCAGACTGTCAAACATGTGACCTGCACAGTTTTTTTATTTTACTTATGAATGATATAGTTACCAGTATAGGAGAAGCTTATGTCCATTTTTACTGATCCATATGTTTTTTCCCCTCTTTTCCTACAGAAACGTTGAACCGATTATCAGGATTAGCACAAAGTGTTTATCATGAATTGTCAGGAGATAACAGCATTCATGATATGAATGCTTCCTTAGACTCTGTGAGTAGCTCTGTTTTGATTTAAACTAGTAAGACCTAAGTTCTATGTTCTTCTGAGGAAAAGAATTTAAGCTAGAAAGGAGTGAACAGCCTTCCTGGTGCTAGGTGGAAGTGAGGATTCAGAAAAATATTGAAACCTTATAAACGATCCTTTCCTTGTAAGTTTGTAACCTAAAGTCACAGTGATGGGAACAAAGTACTAGATGAGATTTGAAGGGTCTTCCTTGTTTGTACTCTTGGGCCTTGCTCAGTGCCAGGTTGCTTTAAGTCCTTCTCATCTTTGGCTATTCCTGTTCCGTAGGAAAGGTTTAAATAGCAAATGGGGGAACTGGAACACCTTTTGGGTTTGAGAATATCTGTTTACTTTTATAATTTCATTTACTACTTCAGGTATAGTTTGTACTGTTTTTTTCTAAGGACACCATAAGGAATCAAAAGATGTTCTTTAGTTTTTTGAAAAAACAAGAAGTAATGCCCAGTGGTTAAGAGTTTTATTCAACTACGGTCTTAATTTTAAATGTGGGGCTTTTACCCTTAATGGTTTGTGATCTTCACTTCTCTTGATTTTTCTCTTTGATAAAATTAGGATAATAATGCCATAAATGGTATGATGTTTCTATAATGCTTAACATTTATAAAAATCTTAATATATTGCAATGGCTATAATAATTATTACTGTTGGGTTAGAGTTAGAAAGAGTCTTAAGAATATGAATTAGGCAACACAGAAGATGAAGGTGGAATGAAGGATCTCCTGTTTGGAAAATAATACGTTTTCCCTGGTGCATTGATAACTTTTTGTCTAAACACTAGGAATCATCACAGAAATCAGACATGGAATTTAATAATACAACACAAGAGAATGTTCTGGAGCGTCTGGCTTATGCAGAGCAGTTGGTGGTGAGGCTAAAAGATGTTATTAGACAGAAGGATGATCAACTGCAGCAGAAAGATGACGCTTTACAGGTACTATTTTTATCCTTTCTTGCACAGCATTTGATAAAGGACAGATACACCATTCACTTAGATTTTTGTCTTCACATAGATTGCTGAGAATCTAATTTTTATTTCTCTAATACTATTACATTATGCCTATTGAAAATAACTTTTGGGCCAGGTGTGGAAGCTCATGCCCATAATCCCAGCACTTTGGGAGGCTGAGGTGGGAGGATCACTTGAGGCTAAGAGTTTTAAGAGCAGCCTAGGCAACATAGTGAGACCCCCCATCTCTACAAAAAAATTTAAAAAAAATATTAGCCAAGTATGGTGGTGCATGCCTGTAGTGCTGGCTACTTGGGAAGCTGAGATGGGAGTATTGCTGCTGCACTGAGCTATGATCATTACACTCCAGCCTGGGTGACAGAGTGAGACCCTGTCTCTAACTAAATAAATGAATAGTTTGTGTTATGTGCTAGATAAGTGGTGAATAACATATATGGATTTATCATCATTTTTCTCTGGCAGGAAGAAAGAAAAGCTGCTGATGACAAAATTAAAAAACTAAAACTTCATGCTAAGGCCAAATTAACTTCTTTGAATAGACACATAGAAGAAATGAAGGCACAAGGAGGGACTGCTCTGACTACAGAACCTCAGTCAGAGGAGAAACTCTCTAAGGTATGATGACCAATGTAGCACATCTTCACTAATCAAACATTTATGATGCTAAAATGGTACAGCGCTAAATGATGTCTTTTCTTATTGAGCTTATAGTCTGTTTGGACTACTGGCTACACACTGGAAGAATAAAGGTCTGCAGAAAACATGGATATGAAATGCCAGTTGTGACTTTCAAGGAATTTTGAAAAGTTCACAGGAAGAAATAAGTACTCAAATGAGGTTATTTCTCACATGTTAAAGAGGAGAGACACATACCTTTTGGAGAAGTTTCATCATTGGTTAGAAGATTAAACTAGATGATCAAAAATAGACTATTGAATTATATGCTCTCTAAGGTTTTTTCCTGCTCTGAAATTGTTTAATTCAGTAACAATACAGAATGTTCTGTGTCCTCATATGGCCACATAGTGGTGAATTGAAGTTTTATACATTGTGGACTAAGTCAGCCGAATTACCTTGGGCTCCCTAGATGGAAGGCCCTCTAGGGTTAGACTGCCACCAACAAAACAGTTTGATGTTGGGGATACAGAGGAATAAGGAAAGTACTGCCTTTTGAGGATTATTGTCCCAGGACTCCTTTTCATTATCTTTCATCTATGATGAAGCCCCAGTTATTCACATTCAGTCAGTTCCTTAAGAGAACAAGAAGGTTCAGTTTTGTGGAGAGTTTGGTATAGAATATATGAAGGCATGCATATCACATGTGTACATCATCCTTATAAAGTGAGCCTAGACTTTATCCATAAAAAAGAAATCTTTTTATTTTCTTACTTTCATTCTGATTTACTCTTTGACCTATTACTATTCTTATTTTCAATGCTCTTAGTTCTTGGGAAACGAGTCTTTTTTTGTTTGTTTTTGTTTTTTTTTTTTTTAGTTGGAGTCTCATTCTGTTGCTGGAGTGCAGTGGCATGCTCGCGGCCACTGCAGCCTCAACCTGCTGGGCTCAGGTGATCTTTCTGCCTCAACCTTTCAAATAGCTGGAACTACAGGCACACGTAACCATGCCAGGCTAATTTTTTGATTTATTGGAGAGATGAGGTCTTGCCAAGTTGCCCAGTCTGGTCTCGAACCCGTGGACTCAGGCAATCTTCTCACTTTGACCTCCCAAAGTGCTGGGATTATAGGTGTGAGCCACCATACCCGGCCAAGGAAAACAAGGTTTTCATCAACTTTCTAGGCACAATCCTTGGGCCAATAGTTAGCTCCCCAGTACCCTGCTGTATCTTTCCTTTTGGGGGCTAATGCTCAGAGAACATTACTTTTCCTGAATTGAAACTTTATTTAAACTTATTTTAAAAGCTTTTCTCAATCATCTCACATCATTTTTTTAATCTTGATTCTCCTTTTCTTACTTTTTGGCCTTTCCTCTAATAATTCTCTTCCCCTGACTGTGGTAGCACTAACCTCTCTCTATTGCTTTGTTTCTTCTAACTTCCTCTCAGTCATGTTCTTGGATTTTTAAATTTTCCATTTTATGCTCTGCTTTTTTTTTTTTTTAACAGATAAGCTGGTGCATTGTCATGATGCAAGAGCTCCTTATGCTCTGCTTTTTAATTTAATTTTTAGCTCTGAGACCTTCAACAAATCAGTCTTAGTTCATTTCCTTCTTCTGTTAAATAAGTGATTTTGGAGTTTCAATAATCAGTCATAGCAACCCTTCAACTATTATATACTCAGTATAGAGCTAGCTATTCCATGGAAAGTATAGTTGAAGAAATGACAATAATCCTCAGATGCTTGACTGACTACTAAGAAAAAGAAAAAAAGTGTGAGATTATTCATTGTAGTTCCAGTAAACTGAACTAGTTTGTTTGAAGGGTGAATTTAGTAGAGAGGCATAATCTGGTTCACTGTAAGGAAAAACTTTTGGGGAAAAAAGAGACTATTAACAGATTTAGATTTTCCCTCACTGGCTCTTTTCTGATGTTTTGCTCTTCAGCTATAGTTTCTCTAATTCTGTCCTTAATTCTTCAAGGCAGCAAGACTATGGGTTTTCTTTTAACGTTTAGTCTTTCAACTTTTTTTAGACTAAAAGCTGTCAAAATTGAAAACTCGGTACAATTTCTTTCAAGTATCAGTTCTCTTGCAGTGTCTTTCTGTTTTTGATTGTTCTCCGGTATTTTCAGATAGCTGTTTTCTGTTTTGGCTACAGTATATGGCTATTATCTGAGAAAGGATAGGACTAATAGGAGCTACTTGGTCATACTGAAACCAGAAGGCTCTAAGATTTCTTAATTGTTGCCAAGTCACCTGGTTTTTCATGCTCCCATCAGTTTAATAAAATTATAATTAAATGGTTGTAAGGGGAAAATTAGATCAAAGATCAAGTACATATTAATTGTAATTATTTTAAATGACTTTATCTCCTGCATTTTCAGCATGACAAGAGTTCTACAGAGACTATAGAAGTAGAAAGGATAAAACATAAACTCGAGGAGAAGGAAGAACTAATTAGTGCTTTGCGAGCCCAGCTTACTCAGGCACAGGCAGAGCAAATCGTACAGGTAGGGGTGTAAATTACTTCATATTCTTTAGGCTAACGAATCACTAAAGTCCAGTATATTAATATATGGCAAATAGATTTTTCTAGATGCCCAGTGGATATCTATCTACATATCTATATGTTTCCTTCCTTCCTGTTTTCCTGTCTGATAATATTATTAGAATGTACATTGGTGTTTGTCATTTTTTATTTGTATTTGTAGATACCCAGTATGCCCTTTGAATATATTTCACATCTTTTAAGTCTTTTTTTGTTTTATTTCACTTTAGGCATTCTATTTTGTTACTTTTGATTTCTTTCTGATTTTGTCTTCTATTCTGAAATGTTTTTTTCTTTTATATCATTTTTCATGTGTTGGCACCTCATTTCTTCTGATGTTTCTAATTCTGATTCATGTTTTTCTCTTGTCTCATATAATTTTCTTAATTTTTAAAAATTCCTTTTGAAATAGATTGCAATTTTGATTTTTTTCAGCATGGGGAGGGAACCCAAAAACCCAGAATTTATTTATAAAAAATCATGTATTTATTCTTACATATTTAAACTTCAGTCACCTTCAAAGTAATCTCCATTTGATGCAATACACCTGTTGAGACACTTTTTCCACTACTCAAAACAGTATTGAACTTGTCCATTTTTATGCCTTTTAATGCTTCTGCCATTTTTTTCTTTCCCCTCTTCCATGTTAGCAAAACGTTTCTCTTTGAGGTCTTTTTTCATCAGGAAAAAAAAAAAGTATCTTGGGGAGAGATTGGGTGAATACGGAGGGTGGGATACAAGGGGTCCTGCCATTTTTGGTCAAAAACTGCTGAATGCTCAGCATGATGTGGGCAGGTGTGTTACCATGGTAGAAGAACTAGTCACCTATTTGCCACAACTTGGGACGTTTCTTCTGCAAATTATGACACGGCCTTCTCAAAACTTCCTTGTAAAAACTTTAGTTGACTGTTTGATCCAGAGGAACAAATTCCAAGTGTACTATAAGGGCCCACCCTCCAAGAGATAATTCTGGTTTATTGGGGGTCTTCCCCCTTATATTAATTCTGGTATGCTTTTATTGTATTATTCTGCTCCTTAGTTTGTTTGGTTTTTTAACTTATAAAGGGAAGGATTTTATATCCTACAGTTATGGAGGCTGAGAAGTCCAGTGTTTAGAGGCTGCATCTGCTAAGGGTCTTCTTGCTGGTGGGTTTCTCTGCAGTGTCCTGAAGGATCACATGGTGAAGGGGCTGAATGTGCTAATGTGCTAGCTCATTTCTCTCTTTTATAAAGCCACCAGTTTCCTCCCTAGGATAAGCCATTAACCCATTAATCTATAAATGTATTCATTCATTCCTGAGGACAGAGTCTTCATGACTCAGTCACCTCTTAAAGGCCACATGGGGATAAAGTTTCAACATGAGTTTTGGAGGGGACACTCATACCATAGCATTTACCTGTGGTCCTCCAAAACTCACATCCTTTTTTAGATATATTCATACCATCCCATAGCCCCCAAAGTCTCATCTGTGAGCCTCTGAAATTTAAGCACTTTACCTATTTCCCAGATACAACGATAGGACAAGTACAGAGTACACATTCCCATTCTACAAGGGAGAAATAGGCAAAAAGAAAGGGGTAGCTGGATGCAGTGGCTCAAGCCTATAATCCCAGCCCTTTGGGAGGCTGAGGCGAGAGGATTGCCTGAGCCCACGAGTTTGAGACCAGCGTGGGCAACATGGTGAGAACTTGTCTCTGCAATAAATAAATAAAAAATTAGCTGGGCATGGTAGCACACACCTGTAGTTCCAGCTACTTGGAAGGCTGAAGCAGAAGGATCACCTGAGCCCAGCAGGTCGAGGCTGCAGTGACTGGGAGTGTGCCACGGCACTCCAGCCTGGGTGGCAGAGTGAGACTCCAACTAGGAAAAAAAAGGAAATAGGTGACAGGCCCCATGCAAATCTGAGGCCCAAGAGAACAGCCATTGAGACTTCTTAAGACTCCAGAAGAATCTTCTTTGACTCCATGTCCAGTGGATCCACTGCATTCTGAGGTCTCCAAAGTTCTCTAAGGCCTCAGGCAGTCTCACCATTATAACTTTGCTGGGCTTAGTTCACCCAGCTCTCTCAGGCTGGCGTTGCACATTGGGAGCTCTATAGTTCTGGGGTCTTATTGGCAGTCCTATAACCATGGTTCCACTAGGCATTACCCTAGTGGGAGTTCTCTGTGGTCATTCCAAGGCCAAATTTATGCTTGGCATTGCTCTAGTGGGAGCTCTCTGTGGTGTTTCTGCTCCTGTAATAAGTCTTTGCCTGAGCTTCTAGGCTTGTGATGACATCTTGTGAAATCTGAGTGAAGACTACCGCTTTCACAGCTCTTGCTTTCTGCAAGCCTGCAGAATTAGCACCACATGGACATTGCCAGGTTTTATAACTTGTATCTTCCAAAGCTGCCACATGAGCCACATCTGGGGCTTCTTGAGCCACCATACACCAACCTGAACTGCTGGGATGCAGGAAGCAGTGTCTTGAGACGGTGTCCTGGGCCTATTCCCAGAAACCATTCTGTCCTCTCAGACCTCTGGGCCTGTGATGGGAGGGGCAGTCCAAAGCTTTTCTGAAATGCTTTCTGAAATGTTTCTGAAATGCTTCTGAAATACCTTTGGGAACTTTTTCTATTGTCTTGACTATTAGCACCTGGCTCCCCTGTAGCCATGCTAATCTCCATAGCAAAGTGGTGGTTGTGTACTCTTGGATTTCCCTATTTGGATTCTTTTCCTGGAAACATTCTTTCATTGTCTACCGCATGGCCAGGCTGCAAATTAAAAAAATTTTTTTTGCTCTGTTTCTCTTTTTTTTTTTTTTTTTTTGCAGGTCACTTGTAAGCAGATAGCAGTAACCACATAGCAGCCTGAACATTTTGCTGCCTAGAAATATCTTCTGCCATGTATTCTAGTTCATCATTAAGTTCAACCTTCTACAAAGTCCTTGGGCATGGACATAGTTCAGCCAAGTTCATTTTCAATTTATAACAAGGATTGCCTTTACTCTAGTTTCTAATACATTGTTCTTCAGTTTCATCTGAAATATAATCAAAATGGCCGTTACTGTTCATTTTCCTATCAGCATTCTGGTCATGACCACTTAACCGACCTCTAAGGAGTGCCAAACTTTCCCTTGTCTTTTTGTCTTCTAAGCCCTCACCAGAATTTAGGCTTTTTCTAGACTGTCCCTCCAAATTCTTCCAGCCTGTGCTTATTACCCAGTTCTAAAGCCACTTTCACATTTTCAGGTGTTCATTATCAGCAACAACCCCACTTCTTGACACCAGTTTTTTTGTCTTAGTTTGTTTTCTGTTATAACAGAATGCCTGAGATGGGGCAATTTTTAAAGAAAATAATTTATTTCTTACAGTTACAGAGGTTGAGAAGTCCAAGGTTGAAGGTCTGCATCTGGCAAGAGTCCTTTTGCTGATAGGGGCTTTCTGTGACATCCTGAGGTAGCGTAGGACATCACATGATGAGGGGACTGAGGATGTTAACATGCAGTATTTTTGTTTTTTTTTTTTAAGATAGTGTCTTGCTCTGTCACTTCAGGGTAGAGTGTAGTGATATGATCATAGCTCACTGTAACCTCAAACTCCTGGGCTCAAGTGATCCTCCCACCTCAGCTTCCCAAGTAGCTAGGGCTGTAGGCGTGCACTACTATGCCCAGCTAATTTTTTAAAAATTATTTTTGTAAAGACAGAATCTCATTCTGTTGCCCAGGTTGGTCCTGAACTCCTGGCCTCAAGTGATCCTCCCATCTCAGCCTCCCAATGTGCTGGGATTACAAGCATGAGCTACAGTGCCCAGCATGCTTTGTTTTTTTTAATAGTAATGTTATATGGGATTTGACCTTGATCTTTTTCTGTTCTTTATTTTTATGTGAAATTAGGTTTCATAAACCTTTAGAAGGAGTCTTGGTTCAGGAAAGCTTTTCTTTATAGACCTCTTTCTTCTGTTGTTTTTGTATTGTGTTCAAAGATATGTGAAGTAGATTTCTGAATGTTTCTGGCTTTCTTCCCCGTGCCCTTCACTTTGATCTATACCAGCACTGCCCAATAGTAATAGGTTTGCTTGTAATTACCAAAGACTGAAACAGGAATATTTAAACATGTCCATCAACAGAGGGGAATACTTAAACAAATTGTGATATAGTCACACAGTGGAATACTTCTTAGAAATAAAAATGAATGAATTATGCATCAATACTATGCTTTCATTTTAGAGTGTCTATACTTAGTTTTGAACTGGAAAGATGATTTAATTATAATTAGAATAATAATGTTTTTATATTTTAATTACCAATTGTGATTAATATTGGTGTCAACTGTTACTCATTCTATCTGTATTAAGTATTCAAATAAACACATTACAATGTTAAATAGAAAATCATATGTAACAGGTATAGAAGAAAATAATTAAAACTGGATCAACTTTATTGACACCAGATACCTGTATACTTGTTATTTGTACAACACCTCAATAGTATCTTATACGATGTAACAGATGAAGTAAAATGTAGTCATACCAAAATGAAGTTGTATTTAATGAAAAAATAATCTGCACTTTAGTTTTTAATTTAAATTAATTAAAAGTAAATAATATTAAAAATTAAATATTTATTTTGCATTTAGCACGTTTTAAGCCCTTTGAAGCCACATGTGGCTAGTTGATACTGAATTATATAGTACGAATATAGACCTTCTCTTTCTTCTGTCTCTTTAATTCCTATTCTGTTTAATTTTGATTTTACTCCTAGCAGTTTCTTAGTGCAGGTGCATATCTCAGAAGGGAGCCCTGATGAGTCACCTTTGAGACTTCAGAGGGCCTAGGTTGCTCTAGCCCTTTTAGTCCTTATTACTGTACACTCTTAGCATTTTGCCCAGCACTAGAGAGTGGGAAAGCTCTGCTGCTATTCTAAAATTGGTCAGCTGTGCATTCCAACAAATATATGTTGGCTATTTGAGGATTTTCCTGTTCTCAGGGCCATCAGATGTCACTCTATTGTTGCCTTCTTTTTCTTAGACTCTAATGCCATGTAGGTCTTGTGACTTTTTTGGTGGTTTGTTCCTACTTGCTTTTATTTTAGGGTTTATAGGACTGTCATCCTAATTTTATTGTAAATCTTGCCTTTGGTTTTTTGGTTTTACTAGTTGTGCTGTCTCTACATGAGGATTCAGAGAACTTGAAAACTTGGTGCAGCTGGATATGGTGGCTCATGCCTATAATCCCAGCACTTTGAGAGGTAGAGGCAAGAGGATTGCCTGAGCCCATGAATTCGAGACCAGCTTGGGCAACATGGCAAGACCTCATCTTTACAATTAAAGAAAAAAAATAACCGGGCATGGTGGCACATGCCTATAGTTCCAGCTACTTGGAAGGCTGAAGCGGAAGGATCATCTGAGCCCAGCAGCTCGAGGCTGCAGTGGCCATATGTATACCACTGCACTCCAGCCTGTGTGACAGAGTGAGACTCCAACTTTTTTTTTTTTTTTTAAAAAGAAAACTTGCTGCTACTGCTTTTGTCTTCCTCTGACAAATTTGATAATTACTTTTTAAAAGCCACAGTGCATGCAGTTTTCTTTTGGGTTCAGTGGAAGTTAGAAAGAGATATGGTAGATATTTAGGGAACAAGAAAGGGAGGTAAAATAATTTAAAATGCTCATTCTTTTGCTTAAATATTTTTTTTCCTTCTTTGTTCTCAGCTGGATAAGAGTTCTACAGAGATGGAAGAATTTGAAATAATGAAACAACAGCTCCAGGAGAAGGAGGAACTCATTGGCACTTTGCAAGCCCAGCTCAGCCAGACCCAGGCAGAGCAAGCTGCACAGGTAAGGTTGGAAGATAACCCTTAAATTAGGATAAAGAACCATAAAGTCAGTTCAAGCTGCTGCTGATCGGGGACTCAGGGGTGGGGGGAGAAAAAAGAACCACAAAGTCCAATGGGATATTACTGCCAATTCAGTCACCTTTGAACATCTTAGTAGCCAGGTGCAGTGGCTCACACCTATAATCCCAGCACTTTGGGAGGCCAAGGTGAGAGGATTGCCTGAGCCCACGGGTTCAAGACCAGTCTTGGCAACTTGATGAGACCTCATCTCTACAATAAATCAAAAAAATTAGCTAGGTGTGATGGTGTGTGCCTGTAGTTCCAGCTACTTAGAAGGCTAAGGCTGTGGTGGCTGTGAGCATGCCAATGCACTCCAACCTGGGCAACAGAATGAGAGTCCAACTAAAAAAAAACATAGTGGATAAAACTATAGCAGCTAGAGTGTTATAGTAGCATCAGAGAGTATGTAGTAGAAGAAATTAGAAGATGTTTGGTAGGTAAATTTGTCTTTTGGAAATGTAAGAAAACCTCAGAAAGTCTTATTTACCCTTATGAATTTTCTGTAACTTAATTGGTGACTGTTTCTTAGTTCTATAGGTCCAGAAACTCTTAGGAATGGGCTCATGCTGAGTTCAAAAGAGTCTGATAGGTAAATCAAAAGAAATACAAATAATGAATCCATTCTTTCCCTATCATAATCTCTTAATGGAAAGATAAATTATAATCAGAAGATTACTTAGTGAGTCTGTAGTGAGAAAGTGGCATAGGTTATGTGATTAATGTTAAATGGCACCAATATGTGACATTCTTTTTCCTATTTATTTCTGCTACCAGGGCCAGACTATTTGGACTGGCATCTTTCAATTTTTCTGAATTTCCTGGTTAACCACCCATCCCCGTATTTTTTCTTTGAGAATGCTTTTGAATCGTGAAGGAGTTTTTCCTGAAGTTCCTTTGCACATAGCTAATGTTATCTATGGGGTTTTTACTGATAATTTGTAGCATTAGTGATGCCTTTTGTCTATTGATTGTCTACTGCTGTGTATACAGTTAAAATTGTATATCTTAAAATCCTTAGTTTTACCTGTTAGTTTTTGTTGTGTCCTTTTTATGTACAAGCACTATATACATGTAGGATAAGGAAATAAATTATGACTTTTACCTACAAGTTGCTTAAAATATAAGAAACCAGGATATATAAATATGTTAATGGATCCATCACAATGCAAGTCATTCTGAATAAGTGCCAAAGCAAGCAGCAATACAAAGTATTTTGAGAAGTGAAAGAGATTATTGTGAATGTGACAGTCAAAGAGGGTTACAAGGAAAAGTTGGGATTTAGGCAAAACATGATAGGTAGATAATATTCTAGACTAGGTGGGGGATGGTATTTCAGTCATGGAGGATGGTATGAGCAAAATCTTAGAGAAGAAAGAGAATATGGAACATTTACAAGAAAGGATGTTAGATGGTTTTGCCGTGGTTTTTCTGGATTCCAAATTCACAGGGAGGTCAGAATTCAGATAACCAAAAATTATGAGGACTTTTTCTCCTATCAAGAAGGAGAGCCCAAAAGTCACTTCAAACAGTCACAAACTGAGAAATCAGCAATATTTGAAGGACTAAAGCAAAATAGGCAAATTAAGAACTGGGCAGCAGCCGGGCGCGGTGGCTCAGCCTGTAATCCTGCGCTTTGGGAGGCTGAAGTGAGTGGATTTGAGTGGATTGCCTGAGCCCATGGGTTCAAGACCCACCTGGGCAACTTGGTGAGACCTCATCTCTACAAAAAAAAAAAAATCAGCTGGGCGTGGTAGCGTGTGCCTATAATTCCAGCTACTCAGAAGGCTGAGGCGGAAGGATCGCCGGAGCCCAGCAGGTCGAGGGTGCAGTGGCCGGGAGCAGCCACTGCACTCCAGTCTGGGCGACAGAGTGAGACTCCAACTCAAAAAAAAAAAAAAACAAAAAACTGGGCAGCATGCTTAACCATAGATCTAAGGAAACAAAACAAATAAGCACATGCGCGCGCGCGCACACATGCACACACACACACACACAATCTAAAAACACATCAGAAACAGTGATACTGAGAAGCTCACAATCAGTCCATTTATTTTTATAAGGGCTAGTTACAAATGAACATGATCTAGAAAGCTGCCAATAACAAGAACTGAAAACAGCTGTCTGAGGAGGTGGTGTAGGTTTGGAAGCACAGCAAGTTCTTTGGTAGAAGCAGTTCTTTGAAAATAAGACTAGAATGATAGATTTGTATTTCCAGTTGTAGAGACTCTTGAATAAAGATAAATTCATTTGAACTTGCACTTATAGGGCATGAGAATTTCATTGAAAGTTTTTGAGCGTGAATGTGATATTGAGAGAAGTGACCAGGGTTTAAATGAAATCTAACTTCACTTTGTAGGTTTAATATCCTAATCTTTTTAGAACTTAAAAAAAATACACTTGTGTATTTAAAACATTTCTACTAATAATGAAAATATAATTTTTAATTAAAATTTGTATTTAGGCTGACTTCTAATTTTGAAAATAGGCTTTCTCTCGTAATTAGAAATTATTGTCAGGACTGTCTTCCAACTTTCTCATCTTTGACATCCAAAATTTAATTTTAAAAAAGCTACTATCTGTCAATTTTCAGTGGCTATCTTTGGAGAGCAGTCTGTGAGTTTTGTTTGTGCAATATTTGAGGAGTATAACTTGTATAGTTTCTCTGGTATGTGTCTTCAGTTGAGTTCCATGCAGCAGGTGGTCCGAGAGAAAGACGCCCGCTTTGAAACACAAGTTCGTCTTCATGAAGATGAGCTTCTTCAGTTAGTAACCCAGGCAGATGTGGAAACAGAGATGCAACAGGTTTGTTGCTAAAACTCAGTGGAATGATTACCATTTTGGTTAACATTTAATTAAATCATCACCGCCACTTTTCTACCTTTACCCACTGCTCTTCACTTGGTGTTAGAGTGTTCCTTTTTGGCTTCTTTTTGGTGTTCTTGTCTTCTGTTGCATATTATTTGTTTCTTCTTATTCTTACCTTGCCTTCTACCCCTCTAATCAGGTTGTTGGTACTAAAAAGCTTAGTTTTGTTGGTGAATGTATGTGGTAGTCAGAAATTGGTTTCTCTTTAGTTTGCTCATCATGCATTACACATCTAATCCAACACTTCAAATCAATGAAGTCAGTTTTAAATTTTCAAAAAATTAGAGATGAAAAGGAGTGATTTTGAAGCCATAAAGTCTTTTATTAGGCCAGTGATTTTTAAACAAAAAATTCATTGAGTATATTTTGAAAATTGACTTCATTGTATTTGAGTTCATCATATACTAACTCAAAGTATTTGTTTTCACTTAGTGTGTAATGCAGTGTGGTACTGAAAGGCACTTTGGTGGTACTTTATGCTTGATCTGTTTGTTTTTAAGTGAACACTTCTAAGTTCTAAGAAATCCTTTAGAAGTTATGACTAAATAAAGTTTCAAAATATAGCACTTTATTAAATAGAATATTGAATATGTGGATCATTGATTTGTTTATTTAATACGTGTTTTTTCCATGTGCATGCAACTTGAAAAGAGAAATGGTTCTTGTCTGCAGCAAATGTTCTTTTTGTTGGGTGAGATATACATGTACCTATGTTATTTAGGTACAGGACATTTACTATATGATTTTGAAATGTGTCAATTTTTCTAATTTATAAAAAGACTCCCTAATTCAGGGACTTGCTTATGTCTTAGTTGGGTTGTTATTGATGCTCTGGAGAAGACATTTTGGAGTTTCTTTGTTGCTGCTGGATGGAGGGCAAGGCATGCTGGTATCCCACTCTTTAATCTATTATCTTCAATACCCACGAATTTTTAGTTTGTAAAAACCTACATGTCATTTTTAAAGGTAAGAAAATTAAAGAACTCATATGTTATAACATTGTGTCTAAAATGTTTTCCTCGCAGAAATTGAGGGTGCTGGAGAGGAAGCTTGAAGAACATGAAGAATCCTTGGTGGGCCGTACTCAGGTCGTTGACTTGCTACAGCAGGAGCTGACTGCTGCCGAACAGAGAAACCAGGTGCTGCCTTCTGATATTTACTGCCTGTCTTGGGAGCATTCATTTCCACTTCAGTTTGTAGGCAATGGGCATAGAAAAGCTTATTTTAAGCCTTCAGATAATCGATGCCATATATTCATCCTTTCAACAAATACCCTGTGTTCAAGTTGTGTTATAGTACAGTGATGAACAAAGCAAATACAGTTACATCTCATTGGAGCTTATAGTGTACATCTTTACTGTTGCTCTTTTTCTTTGTCTTTTCAGGTTTAGGGTCCTAGTTTCTCTAGGATGTCATATCCCTAATCTGGAAATCTGAAATCTTAAATGCTCCAAAATCTTTTGTGCACCAACATGACACCACAAGTGGAAAATTTCACACATAAGTACTAAGCACGTACTGCTTTATGTATGCAATTATTTTTAAATATTGTATAATATTACCTTCAGGCTATGAGTATATGGTATACTTGAAACATAAATAAATTTTGTGTTTAGACTTGGATCCTATCCCCAAGATATCTTCTTGTGTATATGTAGATACTTCAAAATTTGAAAATATTTGAAATCCAAAACACTTCTGGTCCCAAGCATTAAGAATAAGGGATACTCAGCCTGTATTTTCCTTTAGTGAGTTTATTTTCATCATTTTACCCTTTCTCTATCTTGAATGATTCTTGTGTTTTGGAATCATTCTTGACTTTCTGTTGCATTGGAATGATCTCATTATGCAACATTCCCTTGAATATAAAGGTAATCAGGGATGCTAATGAACTCAAATCTTCCATTTCCTGACTATAACCCATTCTGTCATTCCCTTCCTCATACTATCCTGATCTTTATTCTTACTGAATTCCATTGATCTTTCTACTTTGATCCTCCATTATATGACTTCTTCTTTGGCTTCTCTTCTTTCCCTGTTCTGTGTGGACCCATGCTCAACTATTTGGACTACTCTTTTACCAGCCCTTAGATTCCTTGTGTCCTTAATCACATTCACACAGTCAAATCCTAAAGGAGAAGGTGCTAAAGTCTACATTTTCTGCTTGTTCATCTGGGTGCTGAGTGCTGCTAGAGAAAGTTAACCGTCTCCTCTCCTCTAAATGTTCAAGTCTTCTTGAGAAAGACTTTCTCTCTAGCATAGCAATGTGTTCCCATTTTCTCTATCCTCACAAAATGTATACCCTGACTTCCTAGCTGTCATCAGATAGTTAAGTTCAAATCCCAGCTGTTCCACTTAAATAGTTATCACATAGATAGTTATATCTTTGTGACTTTTGGCAAATTATGTATTAGTAATACTATGAATCCTCACAACAACAATCCTATGCAATACTGTTATTATCCCCATTTCACAGATAAAGAAACTCATACATACCCAGGTTGATTTAGTAGGCTTCAGATTTTTCATCAGTAAAATAGGGGTAATTGTATTTGTATCATAGGCACATCATAAGGATCATATTATGAGGAAATAGTATGTAAAAGTATGAAATACAGTGTTGGCCCATAGAAATGGCACAGTTAATAGCTAAAACTACTGTGACTCTACTGAAACCTGAAATCATTCTAGATAGTCATGTAACACTTCTGAATTGTTAAATACAGTAGGCATTTCTACTATATTTCTTATTTTTATTTTATATTTTTTGAGATTTTTTTGTAGAAGCAAGGTCTCACTATGTTGCTCAGGCTGATCTTGAACTCCTGGGCTCAAGCAATCCTCTCACCTCAGCCTCCCAGAGTGCTGGGATTACTGGTGTGAGCCACCATGTCCATTTATATTTGTTATTGTTGAACACTCATGTTTGAAGCTTTTCATTCCCTTGACAGTTATTAGTTATTAAAAGAGCATCAATAGACGGTTATCAATAGAACATTGCATTTCTTTGGCTCTCTTGCTACATATCTAAAGCTTTTCTTTTGTTTGTTTTTACTTCACAGTCTTCTCTTCCTGCCCATTAAACAGTGTTTCCCAATGAACTAGCCTCAGCTTAGTATATTCTCACTGATATATTCTTCTCTTGTCCTCTGTTATGATGGATATGAGACTCCATCCTTACAGCCACTAGCATCTCCCAGATATTTATCTCTCCAGTGCATTTGGTATATATCCAGTTACCTGTTGATAATATGGGTATCCCACAAGCACCCCAAACTCAACAAGTCAAAAATCAAACTCTTCCCTTCTTAAAGCTTATCATTTTTATAATATTTTCTCTCTGTTAGTGGACCATTAACTCAAAAGAATAAAACTTATTAGGCTTTCTTGTTTTCTCCATATTTTTTAACCCCTACAATTAATTATCAAGTTCTACTGATTTTACCTCTTAAATAATTTTTTAATCTATCCTGTCTTCTTCATCAATACTATCGGTACCCTAGTACTGGGTAAGGAGTTTCTTTTGCATAGAGAGTATTCCCTGACAGATTTTTCTCTGCTTCTGTTTTTCCTTCCCAGTCCCAAATTTATCCTCTGTATAGCAATCAGAGGGATGTATCCAAAAATAGGATCTGACCAAGGCTCTTTATTACTCTTCTTTTAAGAAGGCCACCCTAACTTATCCTTTTCTGTTCCCGTTAATACCTTTTAAGTATCTCTCATGGCCTTGATCATTTTGTAGTATACTTATCTGTTTCAGTGTCTCTGAATGAACTCTGAGTTCTTTAAAGGTAGGTACTGGATTCATTCACTATTTTGGGGATAGCATTCTATGCCATATACTATGATAGGTGCTGGAGAACAAAATGGATAAAACAAACATAGTCTCTTTGCTTGTAGAACTTATTTTCTAGTGGGACAAGATGAAAATGAAAAAGATAATGGCACAAATAAATATATATAAGCACAAATAAAGTTAAAAGTATCCAAAACCAAAAATAAGGATCTTATGCTACTGTAGGTGTGGTCCTGAGTAACTAGCTTAATCCTTTACCTACAAGAAGCACTTCAATGTGCTTATTGAATGAAAGAATGTATTTATGCCTAAGGATGTTTGTCTTTTTTCTTAGATTCTCTCTCAGCAGTTACAGCAGATAGAAGCTGAGTGTAATACTTTAAGGAACACTGTGGAAACAGAGAGACAGGAATCCAAGATTCTGATGGAAAAGATGGAACTTGAAGTGGCAGAGAGAAAATTATCCTTCCACAACCTGCAGGAAGAAATGCATCATCTTGAGGAACAGTTTGGGCAAGCAGGACAAACCCAGGCTGAACTGGAGTCTCGGTACAGTGCTTTGGACCAGAAGCACAAAGCAGAAATGGAAGAGAAGGATGCTCACATTCTGGGACTACAAAAGGCTGAACAAGAGCTGCAGTCTGCCTGTGATGCTCTGAAGGATGAAAATTCAAACCTTCTCCATGATAAGCATCATCTTGAGGAACAGTTTCAGCAAGCAGGCCAAGCCCAGGCTGAACTAGAGGCTCAGTACAGTGCTTTGGAGCAGAAGCACAAAGCAGAAATGGAAGAGAAGAACACTCACATTCTGGATCTTCTAAAGGCTGAACAGGACCTGCAGTCTGCCTGTGATGCTCTGAAGGATGAAAATTCAAAGCTTCTCCAAGATAAGCATCAGCTTGTGGAACAGTCTGAGCAAGCAGGCCGAGCCCAAGCTGAACTGGAGTCTCGGTATAATGCTTTGGAGCAGAAGCATAAGGCAGAAATGGAAGAAAAAAACACTCACATTTTGGGTCTTCAAAAGGCTGAGCAAGACCTGCAATATGCCTGTGATGCTCTAAAGGATCAAGATTCAAAATTTCTCCAAGACAAGCGTCATCTTGAGGAACAGTTTGAGCAAGCAGGCCAAGACCGGGCTGAACTGGAGTTTCAGTACAATGCTTTGGAGCAGAAGCACAAAGCAGAAATGGAAGAGAAGAACGCTCACATTCTGAATCTTCAAAAGGCTGAACAAGACCTGCAATCTGCCTGTGATGCTCTGACGGATGAAATTTCAAAGCTTCTCCGAGATAAACATCAACTTGTGGAGCAGTCTGAGCAAGCAGGCCAGGCCCAGGCTGAACTGGAGTCTCGGTACAGTGCTTTGGAGCAGAAGCACAAAGCAGAATTGGAAGCAAAGGATGCTCACATTCTGGGTTTGCAAAAGGCTGAACAAGAACTGCAATCTGCCTGTGATGCTCTGAAAGATGAAAATTCAAAGCTTCTCCAAGATAAGCATCAACTTGTGGAACAGTCTGAGCAAGCAATCCAAGCCCAGGCTGAACTGGAGTCTCGGTACAGTGCTTTGGAGCAGAAGCACAAAGCAGAAATGGAAGAGAAGAATGCTCACATTCTAGATCTTCAAAGGACTGAGCAAGACCTGCTGTCTGCCTGTGATGCTCTGAAGGATGAAAATTCAAAGTTTCTCCAAGATAAACATCAACTTGTGGAACAGTCTGAGCAAGCATGCCAAGCCCAGGCTGAACTGGAGTCTCGGTACAGTGCTTTGGAGCAGAAGCACAGAGCAGAAATGGAAGGGAAGAATGCTCACATTCTGGATCTTCAAAAGGCTGAACAAGAGCTGCAATCTGCCTGTGATGGTCTAAAGGATCAAAATTTAAAGCTTCTTCAAGATAAGAATGAACAGGAAATTCAATCAGCCCAGGCTATTCAGCAGCTGGAAGGTAAGTTTTTGAAGTTTACATTCTAGCACCCGAGTGACTCATATTTCATATTTTCAGGGCTCTGTTAATGAAATTCTTTGCTCCAACCAATTGAATCAGTAGAAAGACTGAAAAAGACATTACCTCTAAACCCTTTGGTGTACTTTTTCTGCCTCTGACTGAAGTTATAATGTCTTAATATTATAATTATCATTACAGTATCAAAAACATGATAGTGATGTTCTAGAAATCTGAAAGAATGGTATGTGAAACAAATGAGTAGAATTTGACTTAGTTTGTGGAAAGCTCAGAACAGATATAGGTGCTTAGGTAGGGAGATTGAATTGCAGAGAATTATCATTCAATCTTAAGATGGATCTCAATGCTTTTCTTAAAGGTGAAAATTTCTTTTTAAAGAAAACTTACCCTTTAAGAAGATATAAAGAAAACTTTTTTTTAATTGTGCTAGTATTTATTTATTTATTTATTTATTTTTGAGTTGGATTCTCACTCTGTCACCGAGACTGGAGTGCAGTGGCTGCTCCCGGCCACCGTGGCCTCGACCTGCTGGGCTCCGGCGATCCTTCCGCCTCAGCCTTCCAAGTAGCCGGAATTGTGTTATTATTAAAGTAATATATGCCTCTAAAAAAATTGGCCATTTTGGAAGTTTATAAATTGAAAAGTGAAACTTCCTCAATATCAACATTCCATCTCACCAGTCCTCTTCCCCAAGTTATAACCTCTACCAATAGATTGGCATACACCTAAAAGAAAGATTTTATTTATTTTGCTTTATTTTATTTTTGAGTTGGGGTTTCACTCTGTCGCCCAGGCTGGAGTGCAGTGGCCACCGTAGCCTCAGCCCGCTGGGCTCAGGCGATCCTTCCACCTTAGCCTTCCAAATAGCTGGAACTGTAGGCAGCGCCACCATGCCCAGCTAATTTTTTGATTTATTGTAGAGACAAGGTCTCACCAAGTTGTCCAGACTGGTCTTGAACCCTTGGGCTCAGGCAGTCTTCTCAACCTCAGCTGTCAAAGTACTAGGATTTCAGGCGTGAGCCACTGTGCCTGGCAAATGAAAGATTTTAGAAGCAATTAAGTTGAAAATTCCTACCAAAGAGCTTTACTGGGTGTTACATGAACTTGCTATCCTCTTAACTGAACCATGTTCATGTTTAAAACCATATTATGGATTCTTAACAGGACATATAACACCTAAGTGGAGAGTGAAGAAAATAAAAACCACTAAAGCTATTTTCAAGGGAGAAAGAAAAATGAACTTTTATAAAATAAATAGGCCTAAGCCAGGTGTGGCTTCAAGACCAGCCTGGGCAATTTGGTGAGTCCTTGTCTCTATAATAGATCAAAAAATTAGCTGGGCATGGCGGCACACGTCTGTGGTTCCTGCTGCTTGGAAGGCTGAGGCAGAAGGATCGATCACCTGAGCCCAGCAGGTCAAGGCTACAGTGGCTGTGAGATTCCAACTCAAAAAAACAAAAAACAAAAAAAAATTACCTAGGCCTATTTTATTTGACCTCTGAAGGAAGTGGTTTGCTGCAGTGCCCTTTAGTTCTGAGAATATTTAAACCGTTTTATACATATATATAGTCATGACATCTGAACTAGCAAACAGTGTATGGTGTATTCTTAGAAGTTAAGTTCAACTCATTAAGTTTCAGACTTGAAGCAGATAATTACATTTATTTGTTTTCTTTTCCTTAGATCAACTCCAGGAAAAATACAAAGAAATTAACCAACTTGTAAATAAACCAACCTTGCAACAACATGAAATAGTGTCTCAGCTTTCTTTCCCAGATGTTTATAATGAGGGTACACAGGTAATGAAATGTGAACTTCTTATAAATATGAACTATTTGTCTTTGCTGTATATATGCTTAGGAGCTGTAATCAAGATTTATTCTAGAAAGCATATAAACCTATCTTTTCTACCTAAAAAAATGCTATTTTGAGGACAATTCTATGTGAACAGGATTATGAAAGGTATTAATGTGGTGGCTCAAGAATGAATGATGAGAAAATAGTAGATAACAAGCACCGTGATCTCAGAACCCTTTCTGACTTGAAGGTATTAAAATTAAAATTTTGTATTGCGACGAATCGTGAGTTTTTAATCAATTTTCCCAGTTCAGAAGGTCAATTTTTTTTGCAAACGGAGATTGGATTAGGTTTAGTGTACGCAAGTCAATCCAACCAAACTTATGTCTATTCTATAAATTATATTGCTCTCACTTGTTAATAGTAAAAAATTAATTACCAAGTGGCTGCTGATTGACCTCTCTTCTTTCTACAAAAATCTCTGTGGAAAACTAGATTGTAGTCACCAGATGGCTGATTATCGAGCATGAATATCAGAACAAAGGGAGCTAATTTGATGATCTTGATTGACTAATATCAAGCTGATAACTGGATTCATCCATCTCCATTGTAGGGTTATACTCTTCCAAAATGGCAGATGTTTTGACTAGCAGCGTCCCATGGTTCCTGGGCAGTACTGTAAACTGATAAAATTTTTGCTTCTTGGTTTCTAGCATCTAAGCTTTTCAGTCTCTTCTATTTTCCCATTCTTATTTTTTTCTTCAGTGTTTTATTAAGATATTTTCCAACCACTCAAATAAATTGGAAGAGTTTTATAGTGAACATCTGTGTCCTGCCATCTAGAGTCTCTTATTAACATTTCAAGACATTTGGTTTATCAAATATTTGTTTATTCATTTCCTGACCATCCATAAATTCATCTTAATTTTTTATACATATCACAGTAAGTTGTGGACATCAGTATATTTCTCTCCAAATATTTCAGCATGTATGTCATTGACTAGATTTCAGTATTTGTTTATAGTTCTTTTAAGGTAAGACTTACAAACCATTAAGTGCAGAGATCTTAAGTATACCATTCATTGAGCTTTTTCAAATGCATACACTGTGTTACTCAAACCCCTATCAAGACATATCATATTACCATTACCCCTACAAAGTATCCTCCTACCCTTTTACAGTTAACCTCACTCTTCTCCACCAGAAACAGCTACTGCTTTTTCACCATAGGATAATTTTGCCTGTTTTACATCATACATTATGTGCCCTTTTATGGAAAGCTGCTTTCACTCAGCATATTTTGAGACTCATTCATATTGTTGCATGCATTATAATATATTCTTTTATATTGCTGAGAAATATTTTATGAATATCCTGCATTTTTTCTTTTGTATGATTGTGCTGCAGTTTCCTGTTGATGGACACCTGCATTTTTTCATGCTTTGGCTTTTATGAGTTAAGTCGCTGTGAACATTCTCATACAAGTATTTATGTGGACATATATTTTTGTTTATCTTCGGTAAATACTAATTGAAGGATTGCTGGGCCATAGAGTATATTTGTATTTAGCTTTTTTTATGAGGAACTGCCAGATCTTTTTCCAAAGTGGTTGAACTATTTTATACTCCTACCTCATACATATGAGAGTTTCTGTTGCTCCACATCTTCTCCAAGATTTAGTGGGGTTATCAGTATTAATATTTTTAGCCATCTTATAGATGTGTAGTGGTATCTTGTAATATCAATCTGCATTTTCCTGATGACAAATGATGTTGAATATTTTTTTCTGAGATTTTTGACCATATGTATATCTTCTTTTGAAGGGCCTATTCAAGTCATCTCTATTTCTAAAATTGAGTTCTTTATCTTTTTATCATCAAGTTATAGGAATTCTTTATATCTTGAATGTCAATCTATTATCAGATATGTTTGGTGAACATTTTTCCCATGTTGTGGCTTGCCCATTCATTTTCATCATGATATCTTTTAACTAGCATACTTAAAAATCTATCATTAGTTTAGACTATCATTAGAAGTCTATCATTAGTTTCTACATGATTTTGATGTTCTGTATCCTGTCTATGAAACCTTGGTTTAGCCTCAAGTCACAAAAGATATTCTCTTATGTCTTCTTCCATAAGCTTTATAGTTTTAACTTTCACAGTTAAGTCACTCAACCTCAAATTTTTGTGTATGTTGTAAGATAAGGGTCAAGTTGTTTAGTTTTTGATTTTATGTTTGGGCACATTTTAGCCATTTCTTAAAATAGTTGTTCTTTCTATTCTGTCCTTCCTCTCTTTTGGCACTCCAATTATAGGTATATTCAATCTTTTAATATTGTCCCATGTGTCCCTGAGGCTGTGTTCGTATTTTCAATGTTTTTGTATTCTTCAGTTTTCAGATTAGATAGTATCTGTTGATCTATTATCTTCAAGTTGAACAAGACTTTTTTTCTGTCTCTATATTCTACTGTTAGACCTAGCCATTGAATTCTTCATTTCAGGTGTTCAGTTTTTTAGTTCTAGAATCTAAAATTGGTTCATTATTATATTTTATTTGTCTGTACTAATATTTCCTATCTTATTAATTATGAGCATATTATGTCCTAAGTATAGTTATAATAGCTTTGCTAAAATCCTTCTTTGCTACTTATAAAATCTGCATCTTTTTGTGGTTTGTCTCTGTTGATTGTGTTGTTTCTTGAAAATGGGTCACATTTTCCTTTCTATTAATTTGAAAAAATTTTTTTTTCAGTTGGAGTCTCACTCTGTCACCCAGGCTGGAGTACAGTGGCATATTCATGACCACTACAGACTCTACCTGCTGGGCTCAAGTAATCCTTCTGCCTCAGCATTCCAAGTGGCTAGAACTACAGGCATGTGCTACCATGCTAGGATAATTTTTTTTATTTATTGTAGAGATGAGGTCCTATCAAGTTGCCCAGGCTGGTCTCGAACCCTTGGGCTCAGGCATTCCTCTCGCCTCCACATCCCAAAATGCTGGAATTACAGGCTTGAGTCACTGCACCTAGCCAGATTTTCCTAGTTTTGTAATGTAATGAGTAGTTTTATATTGAATCCTGGATGTTGTGACTGTTTTATTCTCAAGATTCTAATCTGTTATTTCTAAAATTCTGAAAAGTTTCAATTACTTTTTTTCAGGCAATAAGTTGGGCTCAAACTACAAACTCTGGCCATTAAAACTCAGTTCAGTTATTTTTGCCTGAGCTAGGCTGCTTTGAGTCAGCCCAACAAATACATAGTTCATTATTTAGCCAGAAATTTGTGCTAAGTTTATGTGTAGATCACAGGGTTCCTTGTTGACCTTTCTTTTCTCTTAGATTTCGCTCCTCACATTCTGGCAGCTCTGTTTATTCCAAAGTCTTTCTTCTCATTCTTCAAGCCAATATCTATGACTAGTGTATTGGAGTTTTACTTGCCTGTATAATGCAAACTGTGATTCCCTCAGGATAAAAGTCATCTCTTGTTATTTCTTTAAACATCAAAAGATTTGTGGTCACTTATCCTGTAAAGGCCCTTATGACTTGAAAATTCTAGTTTCACAAAAATTGTATAGAATAATCCCCTTGAAGAAGAAAGATATATGAAAAGACATAAAACTAAAGATGTGGCATAATAAGATATATGCTTATCATTAGGAAAACCAAACATTCTGAATGTATAAATTAAGTGCAAGATAATTTTTCATTATTTTTGGAAAGAAACAAAAAACAATTATGAATTTTCTTCTTAAGCAATACATATAATTTGCCTCTATTCATTTTTTATGGAACTCCCCTTTAAGAGAGAGACTGTTACTCAGTGGCATTAATCTAATCTTATATTATTTATTTGTGAACCTGAAAATGTTCTTTCTTATGTAATAAATCTGAGGTTTCTAGTTTTTGGAATCCTGGCTTCAATCTTAAATTTAAAAACCAAATGAACTTTATATTTGTATGAGATATTTCTCTCTATTTAGGTAAAAAACATTCCTTCAAAGATTACCTAGGCAGATAAGTAGATGTTATTTTTTAAGTATTTTCATAGCTGAAGAACTTTTAGAAGACAAAAATACTGGAGGCGATCTGGGCATTAGTATGAGAGTTTTTCGCTGGAGAATCATTAATTTGTTGTCTTTCTACAATTTAGGCAGTCACTGAGGAGAATATTGCCTCTTTGCAGAAGAGAGTGGTAGAACTAGAGAATGAAAAGGGAGCTTTGCTCCTTAGTGCTATAGAGCTGGAGGAGCTGAAAGCTGAGAATGGTATGTATAAAAGAAATCCCTAATTCTCTGTCTTCTTATCCCACAAGTGTCTCTATTTTTATCCCAAACATGTATGACACATAGATTATCTGATTCTATGATAATAAAGATGTAAATAGCAGAGCTGGCAGTTATCAAAAATAAATTTAACAATTAGAGGATAGTACCATGTGTATATAAGTGTAATATTTTGCAATATGGACTATAAATGCTGTAGGATTTGTATGTAATTTATATTTATTTTGGAATGGAGTCATAGTATCTTATAGAAAGTATCACTTGAACAAGACCTTAATAAGATGATGAATTTTTAAATAGGTAAAATGGAGAAAGCAAGGATATTCTGGTAATGAATTTTTGGGATGAGGTAACAGGTCAGTATAAAAATTCAAAGAAAAAACCACTTTGGTTTTTGCTCATGCAGTGCCCTACTTGGAATCCTCCTCCTTTCTTTTAGCCTGACTGATTCTTACTTATGTTTCAGGTCTCGACTAGGGCGTTATCTTTTTCAGGAATTTAGCTCTGTTCTCCAAAAGTTGAGTTAAATGTGTTTTTATGCTTCTATAACATTCTTGTGTACTTTTAACAATGTATTGAAATTATCTGTTTATGTTTGTCTTTTTGCTATAAGCTCTTCAAAGATAAAGTATAAGGTCTTCAAGGGCAGGGGCCATTGTTTTTTTTCACCCTGTCCCCAGAACTAGTATATTACCTGGCAAATAGTGGCTACTGAATAAAATTTTGTTGGATTGAACTGAATTTAGCATTTAATCGTACTGGACTGTATGTGATCAGTTAGAAGATTGCAGACATATCCCTCCCACTTATTATCTGCTTCATAAGGACTTTGTGGATTTAGTAGCATATAGTTAATGCTTTATTGATCTGCTTCATCCTGGATTAACTGGTCTACTATGCTTTATCATCCAGGAATGAGAATGAGACTACCAAGTAAAGTTTGTAAAACTTTTATTATACGCTAAAGCCAAAATTTCCAACTTAACCATTTTACAGTCTTCCACCTAGCTCTAAATGGAGGCTTATGCACTTACTATTACCATTATTGCTAATAAATAAAGAACACCACAAATTCAGCTCATTATTTAACCCCCTCAGAGCACTTCTTTGGGACCTTATTCATGATGCTCATTTTGCAGTTTTACAAACAGTACCTGTCCTGTTCATGTGGCTTTCACATGGTTTGGAGGTATTATATAAATTCCATTCCTTTCCTCTTTCCAGCAGGGATCACTGGCCTTAAGGTTTTCTGTATTGGTTTTTGTGTCTGGTCTCATAGGTTATCTTGCTTTATGTGTCATGTCCTGTTCAACTTTTTTTTTTTAATTTTTATTGAGATGGAGTCTCACTCTATCGCCCAGGCTGGAGTGCAGGCATGCTCACAGCCACCACAGCCTCAACTTGCTGGGCTCCAGTGATCCTTCCACCTCAGCCTTCCAAGTAGCCAGAACTACAGGCACGTGCTACCATGCCTGGCTAATTTTTTGATTTATTGTAGAGACGAAGTCTTGCCAAGTTGCCCAAGCTGGTTCCAAACCTGGGGGCTCAGGCTTTTCACTTGCCTCGGCCTCCCAAAGTGCTGGGATTACAGGCTGAGCTCCCGAGCCCGGCCTTCAACTCATCTTTTGCACTGCCATTTCTATCACTGTACCTTTTTTCAAGTAATCTTATAAAGTGTCTGAATATATTATATACCACCTTGAATTCATTTGTCTCATGAATGTTCTTTAATTCATTCAGCAAATATCTATGATGTCTTTTCTGTGTGCCAGACACTATTCTAGTTGCTGAGGATATAGCTATGAACTTGTAAGAAGGAAGACAGGCCATAAACATGTATACAGAAGTAAGAAAATTTTAGAAAATGATAAGTATTGGGATAAAAATGAAACAGCAAACTACAAATGTGCCTTGGGAAAGAGGAAGGCAGTATTAGAGTGGTCAGAATAGGCTCTCTGAGGACTTGAAGCTAGAATGATGAAAATGGAACAGCCATGCAAAGAAGCTAAACAGAGTATTTTAAGTGGAGAAAAGAGCAGTGCAAATGTCCTGAGGTGTGAATGATCTTGATAAATTTGTAGGACAGAAAGAAGGCCTTTTTTTTGTTTGTTTTTTTGGAGTAAACAAAAAAGGGGCAGTGCAAGAAGAGGTTTGAGAATTAGTGGTATCAAAACATGAAGGACCCTGTAGTCACATTAAGACATTCAGATATAGTGTAAAAATCGGCTTTACTTTTTATTTTTTTAGTGTGTCTCTTTTAGCTTCTCAAAAAGAATATAAACTCCTTGGGAATATTAATACCAGTGCTCAATATATATATATCATAATAGAACATGAGGTAGCACTCATGTTCTGAATTCTGATCCCAGCTCTCTGAACTAGCTATATGACCTCTTCAGTTCATGTCATTTCTTTGTTTCCTCATATGGCCACTGAGGAGATTGGATAGCTCTCTTTTAGTGCTAAAAGTTGATGTCTTTTTTAATATATGTAAAAAAACATCGAAGACATTGTGTTGTATTAATGCAAAATGTGTGTTATGAATACAGTAAAATTATGGATAAATGAAGGCAATTTATTGCCGTAAAAGTTTCAAATTATACCACAGAAAGAGCTGCTTCATTTCACATGTCCTGGTATCCTTTCCTTTCAGGCTTTCCACTATTTATACTTCAGTCAGGTTCATCATCATCACCTAGTACTACTCTGTCCTATATCTCATTTTCTCTTATTCTCTTGTCACTTCTTTATTTTAATAAAAAAGCCTCTTACCTCCCCAAACTGTTTTATTTTTTTCCTCTTGAATATTACATGCATCTCAAATAACTTCATATACATTCCTTTCTTTTTTTTCAAACACTCCACATCTAAAGGTATTTATTTTCTGACTTTCAGAAAAACTGTCTTCTCAGATTACTCTCTTGAAGGCTCAGAATAGAACTTGGGAAGCAGATAGAGAAGTCGGTGAGGTAAGTGATATGTCTCTAACATAAGCAGAACATAAACTAGATTAAGAGATGGTAGCTCAAAATGTAAACATTTCTGCAATTTTCTAGTGTTGATAGAGAAGTATATCACCTATAGAATAAGATCTATTTAAGAGATTTTTAATGGTTATTATTCTTATTTACTCTCATTTGTTTCCGAGTATTTGGAATTCTTTTTCCTAAACCAACACAAATACAAGAGTTACTTATTTGGGGTTTGAGAACCCATTTCTCATACTGGGTTATCACTTATCTTAGCTAGACATGGTGACTCATGCCTATAATCCCAGCATTTTGTGAGGCTGAGGTGGGAGGATCACTTGAGCCTAGGAGTTTGAGATCAGCCTGGGCAACATAGTGAGACCTCATCTCTACAAACAAAATTTAAAAATTAGCCAGCTATAGTGGTACACACCTGTAGTACCAGCTACTCAGAAGGAGGCAGAGGTGGGAGGATCATTTGAGATTCTAGAAAATGAATTCTAGGTTTCCTTAGGTCTTATAAATAGGGCTTGACCTCAGCGCAGGATTAACAGAGTGCCCTCAGAGGCCCAATTTGGGAAACACAAACTAATTTTATAAAAATCTAGCAGTTCTATTGTGCAAAGAAGCTTTGGACCAAAAACTTTGAGGTTTTGGAAAATGCATGAAATACCAGTTTTTAGTCAGGCTTTTAAAAAAATATTATAAAACATTTTTATTAAGGCTTTTCCTTTCTTAAAATATAGATCGGCATGGCTAATATTGCCAAGCTCAACAAGAGCAGCTCTTTTACTGAGGAAAGTGGACAAGATGTTCTAGAGAACACGTCGTCTCAGAAACATAAAGAACTATCAGTTTTATTGTTGGAAATAAAAGAAGCTCAAGAGGAAGTTGCATTTCTTAAGTTGCAGCTCCAGGACAAAAAGACTGAGGGGGATCGTGAGGTCCTTGACCAGAAAGAAATGAAGCAGATAGAGAATGAAGAAATAGCTCCAGTTAGAATGAAAGTGCTTCTTGAAGATACAGGGCAAGATTTTCCCTTAATGCCAAAAGAAAAGAGCAGTCTTCCATCAGTTGAAACAGAACTGGTGAGCACTAAACATCAAAGTAGAACATCTGAGAAAATACCTTTAAATGACACTGGAATGGAACTGAACTCAACAAAACAAGATGATGTTGATAAATCCCTTTCTGCTGTACCAGATATTGGTCAGTGTCATCAAGATGAGTTGGAAAGGTTAAAAAGTCAAATTGTGAAGCTTGAGATAAACTTTCACAAAGCAGAAGAAAACTATGAGAAAAATTTAGACGAGAAAGCAAAGGAAATTAGCAACCTAACCCAACTGATTGAAGAGTTTAAGAAAAATGCTGAAAACACCAGCAGTGCATTCACTGCTATGTCTGAAGAAAGAGACCAGCTTCTTTCTCAGATGAAGGAACTTAGTGTAATAACAGAACTGAGGGCTCAGATAAAGCAACTGGAAACAAGCCTTGCAGAAGCAGAAAGGCAAAGAAGACTGGACTATGAAAGTCAAACTACTCATCACAACCTTCTTACTGAACAGATCCACAGCCTCAGTATAGAAGCCAAATCTAAAGATGTGAAAATTGGAATTTTACAGAATGAGCTAGATGATGTGCTGCTTCAGTGTTCTGAGCAGAATACACTGATAAGAAGCCTGCAAAACCAGCTGCAGAAGAAAGAAAGTGAAGTGCTTGAGGGGGCTGAACGTGTGAGGGACATCTCAAATAAGGTGGAAGAATTGTCACAGGCTCTTTCACAGAAGGAACTTGAAATAGCAAAAATGGATCAGCTCTTACTAGAGAAAAAGAGAGATGTGGAAACCCTCCAACAAACCATCGAGGAGAAGGATCAGCAAGTGACAGAAATCAGCTTTAGTATGACTGAGAAAATGGTTCAGCTTAATGAAGAAAAATTTTCTCTTGGGGTTGAAATAAAGACCCTTAAAGAACAGCTCAATTTATTATCCAGAGCTGAAGAAACAAAAAAAGAGCAAGTGGAAGAAGGTAAAGAAGTTGTTTCTGGCCTTAAACATAATTATGATGAGTTGAACCCAGCAGGGCTAATAAGTAAAGAAGAACATCAGCATGAATTAGATCTTCTGAAGAAAGAAAGTGAGCAGAGAAAGAGAAAGCTTCAGGCAGCTCTTATTCATAGAAAGGAGCTTCTACAGAGAATCAGTAGATTAGAAGAGGAGTTAGCCAAAGCAAGAGATGAATCTAAGAAAGAGGTCCCATTCAGTGAGAGTGGGAGGAGAGAAGTGAAGGAAAATAAAGAGAACAAGGAAGACTCAGAAAAATGTGTGACTTCTACATTTCTAGAACTAGAAATTTCTTTAAAACGGACAATATCTGAGAAAGAAGTACAGCTAGAACATATAAGGAAAGATTTGGAAGAAAAGATGGCAGCTGAAGAACAATTACAGGCTATGGTCAAACAGATGAATCAGAACTTACAAGATAAGACAAACCAAATAGATTTGCTTCAAGCAGAAATCATTGAAAACCAAGCAATTATCCAAGAATTAAAAACAAGTAACAAGAATGTCAGTGATGGGAACTCAGCAGCACCTGTTAAAAAAGCAGTGATGATCAGTCCACCTGGTGCAGATAGTGGTGAACACTGGAAACTAGAACTGGACGAAAAGATCCTGGGCCTTGAAAAAGAAAAGGAGCAACTTCAAAAGAAGCTACAAGAAGTCTTAATCTCCCGCAAGGTGATTTTAAAAAAGGCACAGGAGAAAGAAAAACATCTTAGGGAGGAGCTAACACAACAGAAAGATGACTATAATCGCTTGCAAGTACAGTTTGATGAGCAATGCAAGGAAAAGGAGAACATTGCAGACAAACTAAGACAACTCCAGATTCAAGCAAGGGATTCCATAGGTGGAAGACTCCCAGGCAATGACCAGCAGGAACTGGGCTTTTCTACTCCAGGTTTAGAAGAAACTTTATTCAAAGCCACAGAACAGCATCCAACTCAACTTGTTTTAGAGCCCGACTTGTGCCCATACTGGCCTTCTCACCCTGGAGATGCAAGTGCTCTGCAGGGAAACACTTATATTGCTCAAATTAAGGCCCAGCTGAAAGAACTAGAGTCTGAGAAAGAGGAGTTAGAATTAAAAGTTAGTTCTACAACAAATGAGCTTACTAAAAAATCAGAAGAGGTATTTCAGTTACAAGAGCAGATAAATAAACAGAGTTTAGAAATTCAGAGTCTAAAGACAGGATCCCAAGAAGCTGAAGCCCATGTAGAAAGCCTGAAGCAGAAATTTGAAAGCAGTCAGCTAGAAATTGCTGGCTTAGAACATCTAAAAGAATTACAGCCTGAACTAGATGAACTACGAAAACTCATAAGCAAGAAGGAAGAAGAAGTTAGCTTCCTTTCTGGACAGCTTAGTGAGAAAGAAGAAGCCCTTGCTAAAGTACAGACAGAGATAATAGAACAAGAAGATGTAATTAAGGCTTTGCATACACAGCTAGAGATGCAAGCCAAAGAGCATGATGAAAGGATAAAGCAGTTACAGGTGGAACTCTGTGAAATCAAACAAAAGCCCACCATGACTGAAGAAGAAAGTAGAACAAAGCAACAAATACAGAGGAAACTGCAGGCTGCCCTTGTTTCTCGAAAACAAGCACTGAAAGAAAACATGGGTCTCCAAGAAGAGTTGTCTTTGGCCAGAGATACCATTGAACAACTTACCAAGTCTTTGGCAGGTGTGGAAAGCCAAGTTTCTGCACAAAATAAGGAAAAAGATACATTCTTAGGCAGATTAGCTCTTCTTCAGGAAGAAAGAGACAAACTCATTTCTGAGATGGACAGGTCTTTACTGGAAAATCAAAGTCTCAGTGGCTCTTGTGAAAGCCTAAAACTAGCTCTAGAAGGTCTTACTGAAGATAAGGAAAACTTAGTGAAAGAAATTGAATCTTTGAAATGTTCTAAGGTTGCAGAAAGCACTGAATGGCAAGAGAAACACAAGGAGCTGCAAAAAGAGTACGAAATTCTTCTGCAGTCCTATGAGAATGTTAGTAATGAGGCAGAAAGGATTCAGCACGTGGTTGAAACTGTAAGACAGGAAAAGCAGGAACTGTATGGAAAGTTAAGAAGCACAGAAGCAAACAAGAAAGAGGTAGAAAAGCAGTTGCAGGAAGCTGAGCAGGATATGGAGGACATGAAAGAAAAGATGAGAAAGTTTGCTAAATCTAAGCAGCAGAAAATCCTAGAACTGGAAGAAGAGAATGACCGACTTAAAACAGAGACACACCCTGTGGGAGATACAGCTAAAGAAGGTATGGAAGCACTTCTTTCTTCCAATTCCAACATGAAGGAAGAACTTGAAAGGGTCAAAACGGAGTATGAAACCCTTTCTAAAGATTTCGAGGCTTTGATGGCTGAGAAAGACTCTCTAAGTGAAGAGGTTCACAATTTAAAGCATCAGATAGAAGTCAATGTATCCAAACAAGCTAGCCTTGAGGCCACTGAGAAATATGATAGCCAAATGGATGTCATTGAAGAGGCAACCCCGTCTGTGCCAGGTGAGGCTAAAGAGCAGGATTCTCTGAGTATGAGCACAAGACCTGCATATCCAGATCCTGTTCTGTCAGAGAACAGTGTCAAGCCTGACTTAAGTGAGAATGTCAGCTCACATGATGAAATCAATAACTACCTACAGCAGATTGATCAGCTCAGAGAAAGAATTGCTGAATTAGAGGAAGAGAAGCAGAAAGACAAGGAGTTTAGCCAGACTTTAGAAAATGAGAGAAATGCCTTACTAAGTCAAATATCAACAAAGGATGGTGAACTAAAAATGCTTCAGGAAGAAGTAACCAAATTAAATCTATTAAATCAGCAAATCCAAGAAGAACTCTCCAGAGTTACCAAACTAAAGGAGACAGCAGAAGAAGAAAAAGATGATTTGGAAGAGAGGCTTATGAATCAATTAGCAGAACTTAATGGAAGCATTGGGAATTATTATCAGGATGTTACTGATGCACAAATAAAGAATGAGCTACTGGAATCTGAAATGCAGAATCTCAAAAAGTGTGTGAGTGAATTGGAAGAAGAAAAGCAGCAGTTAGTCCAAGAAAAAACTAAGGCGGAATCAGAAATACGCAAGGAATATTTGGAGAAGATTCAAGGTGCTCAGAAAGAACCTGGCAATAAAAGCCATGCAAAGGAACTTCAGGAGCTATTAAAAGAAAAACAACAAGAAATAAAGCAACTACAGAAGGACTGCATCCGGTATCAAGAGAAAATTAGTGCTTTGGAGAAAACTGTTAAAGCCCTAGAATTTGTTCAAACTGAATCCCAAAAAGATTTAGAGATAACCAAAGAAAATCTGGCTCAGGCAGTTAAACACCGCAAAAAGGCCCAAGCAGAACTGGCTAGCTTCAAAGTACTACTCGATGACACTCAGAGTGAAGCAGCAAGGGTCCTAGCAGACAATCTCAAGTTGAAAAAGGAACTTCAGTCAAATAAAGAATCAGTTAAAAGTCAAATGAAACAAAAGGATGAAGATCTTGAGCGAAGACTAGAGCAAGCAGAAGAAAAACACCTGAAAGAGAAGAAGAATATGCAAGAGAAACTGGATACTTTGTGGGGAGAAAAAGTCCACTTGGAAGAGATGTTTGTAGAGATTCAGGTTACTTTGAATAAGAAAGATAAGGAAGTACAGCAACTTCAGGAAAATTTGGACAGTACTGTAGCCCAGCTTGCAGCCTTCACAAAGAGCATGTCTTCCCTCCAAGATGATCGGGACAGGGTGATAGATGAAGCTAAGAAATGGGAGCGGAAGTTCAGTGATGCAATTCAAACCAAAGAAGAAGAAATTAGACTCAAAGAGGAAAATTGCAGTGTTCTAAAGGATCAACTTAGACAGATGTCAATCCATATGGAGGAATTGAAGATCAACATATCCAGGTAAGTTTGTAATAACTTCTTTTTTCTCTTCCAGAGGTAATTGGAGACAAAGAAAATCTCTTTAAACTATTTATATTTCTTTTAAGATTATGGGACTAATTTTAAGTTAAATTCCCTTAGAAGATACATTCTTTCTCATGTCTGACTTTTTTGTGCAAATAACATCCTGCTATAATTTGTATTAACATGAAAAATCCACATCTTCTCTTCCCATCTCTCTATTGAGAGATCTCTTAGATTTCTTTCTTTTCATTTTCATTTCAACTATCCTTTTCTGGATTTTTATCACAGTACTCCCAAATCATTGTATTAGTGTCTTAAATGGTCTTTTCTCTTCCTCTTGGTTCATATCAGTTCATACTGCATATGCCTGTTAAAGTTATTTTTCTCAAACTCAAATTTTGCATCACTGTTCAAGTTCAAGAACAAATAATGTCCTTTACTCCTTGTATTTCTGCACTTCTAATAGGCTCCTTTTGTTCTGTAATAGGTTTCCTCACTGTCTCTCATACTGAGATTATTCCTTAAACAAACCAGATATTAGCTTGTCTGGAGAAAAGTAGAGTGCAAGAGGAGAAAATGTTACTTTTTAAAGTGTCCAAAACATGTTACTAAAATAAGCAAGTATTTTGCAGTTTATCATTTAAATAGATTAGCCCTTAGGTGTGGTATGCCTTTCATACAGAGCTCTCAGTAGACAAGTGTATAGACACAGAGAAACTAATATGTCTTCAGTAAAAAGTTTGAACACCCTCAATTATGAATATTCGTTCATTTGCAGATCTTTTGAGCACATGTTTGTTTGTTTCTTTGGCATAACATAGTTTTTTCTTGAAATCTATATTTAATAATCTTCTTGCTTTTTTCAGGCTTGAACATGACAAGCAGATTTGGGAGTCCAAGGCCCAGACAGAGGTCCAGCTTCAACAGAAGGTCTGTGATACTCTACAGGGGGAAAACAAAGAACTTCTGTCTCAGCTAGAAGAGACTCGACACCTATTCCACAGTTCTCAGAATGAATTAGTTAAGCTGGAATCAGAAATTAGGATTCTCCAAGAGCAGTCAGCCGATTTAAATAACTCCTTAGAAAAATGTAAGGAACATAAAGAAAATTTGGAAGGGATCATAAAGCAGCAAGAGGCTGAAATCCAAAACTATAAGTTCAGTTATGAACAATTAGAGACTGATCTTCATGACTCCAGAGAACTTACCAGTAGGCTGCATGAAGAAATAAATATGAAAGAGCAGAAGATTATAAGCCTGCTTTCTGGCACGGAAGAGGCAATTCAGGTAGCTCTTGCTGAAGTACATCAGCAACATTATAAAGACATTAAAGAGCTGGAAGACCTGCTGTCCCAAGAAGAGGATATTGTCTTAGAAGAGGAGAACAAAAAGGCTGTTCACAAAACCAGTCAGCTTATGGAAACACTGAAAACCATCAAAAAGGAAAACATTCAGCAAAAGGCTCAGTTGGATTCCTTTGTTAAATCCATGTCTTCTCTCCAGAATGATCGAGACCGCATAGTAGATGACTATCAGCAGCTAGAAGAGCGACATCTCTCTGTCATCTTGGAAAAAGACCAACTCATCCAAGAGGCTGCAACTGAGAATAATAAGCTTAAGGAAGAAATTCGAGGCTTGAGAAGTCATATGGATGATCTCAATTCCGAGAATGCCAAGCTAGCTGCAGAACTGATCCAATACAGGGAAGATCTGAACCAAGTGATATCAATAAAGGACTGTCAACAAAGGCAACTTCTTGAAGCTCAACTTCAGCAAAATACAGAGCTGAAAAATGAATGTACTAAATTAGAAGAAAAGTTGAAGAAGTCTGAAGAAGCAAAAGTGGATCTACAGAGGTCCTCTAATGTCCTACAAGAGGAGAAACAAAGTTTATTTAAAGAGATTGAGAGTTTGAAAGTATCTATATCCCAACTAAAGAGACAAGTGGCAACCTTGCAAGAAGAAGGTATGTTAGGAGAGTATCATGCCCAACTGAAAGTAAAAGAAGAAGAAGTACAGAGGTTAAGCATTACACTTTCCTCCTCTCAGAGGAGAATTACAGAACTAGAAGAGGAATTGGTTTGTGTTCAAAAGGAAGCTGCCAAGAAGGTAGGTGAAATTGAAGATAAACTGAAGAAAGAATTAAAGCATCTTCATCATGATGCAGGGATAATGCGAAATGAAACCGAAACAGCAGAAGAGAGGGTAGCAGAGTTAGCAAGAGATCTGGTGGAGATGGAACAGAAATTACTCATGGTCACCAAAGAAAATAAAGATCTCACAGCACAAATTCAGTCTTTTGGAAGGTCTATGAATTCCTTGCAGAATAGTAGAGATCAAGCCAATGAGGAGCTTGATGAACTGAAAAGGAAATATGATGCCAGTCTAAAAGAGCTGGTACAGCTGAGAGGACAACAGGGCCTCTTAAACACAGAGAAAGATGCTCTTCTTTCTAAAGGTAACTTTCCAGTGAACTCCATGGAGGAGAACAGCCTGTCTCATCTTGAGAAACTTAACCAACAGCTCCTATCCAAAGATGAGCAACTGCTTCACTTGTCCTCACAAGTAGAAGATTCTTACAACAAAGTACAGTCCTTTTCCAAGGCTATGACCAGTCTGCAGAATGAGAGAGATCACTTGTGGAATGAGCTGGAGAAATTCCGAAAGTCAGAGGAAGGGAAGCAGAGGTCTGCAGCCCAGCCTACCACCAGCCCAGCTGAAGTACAAAGTTTAAAGAAATCTATGTCTTCACTCCAAAATGACCGAGATCGACTAGTGAGTATCTAGTTCTCTTTCAGATCTATGTTTGACAGTTTTTGAACCTTTCTTTTAATTGATTTTTATTTCTATAGGAAAGGATAAGCAGAGTCTTATACATATTACCTGGGCACTCAGAGGCAGTATTCCATGAGGGGAGACCCAAAAAAACCCCGGAATTTATTTATAAAAAATTGTGTATTCTTACATGTTTAAACTTCAGTCACCTTCAAAGTACTCTTTGTTTGATTCAATACACCTACTAAGATGCTTTTCCACTACTCAAGACGTTTTTAAACTCGTCAATTTTGATGCCTTTTAGTGTTTCTGCTGTTTTTCTGTTTTACATCTTCCACATTGGCAAAACGTTTCCCTTTGAGACTTTTATCATCCAGGAAAACAAAAAAAGTCTCTCAGGGTGAGAGTGGGTAAATAGGAAGGGTAGAGCATGGGGTTCACGCCATTTTTGGTCAAAGACTGCTAAACACTCAGCACAGTGTGGACAGGTGTGCTTGTAAATCACCCATCATGAAATGGGCAGATGCTTTGAAAGCATCTCTAACAAAAAATTCACTGAAGTCGAATGCAGTGTCTCACAACAATGCTAGCTGGTACACTGGTGCCAATAAGTTCCTAGAACACTTATCTAGTGGGGAAGCCTATACTACAAGAGGCCCAGCCTCCAAAAAATAATTCTGTGTTTTGGAGGGCACCCCCCTATAAGTCTCACAGGTTCTGTTTAGTCTTAGAGAAACACAAAAATGTGATTTAAGTTGCTTTAAATCTGCCCATTTCATTTTTAAAAAACACAAATTTCCTTTGCACAAAACTCCCCATTAGTTATGAAAGGACTAAAAGATGCAGAGCTGATCTTGTAACATATAAATGATTCCAGAATTTGTCATACTTTAATTGAAAGAAAGTATAAGGATCACTTAGTGCCTTCTTACAGAGACAATTTAGCAAGAGAGCATCTGGTAGTATTTGGGGCAGAGAGGACTCATACATGTAACACAACCCTACTTTGTAAAAAAAAAAAAAAATTAAATTTAAAAAGAGTTTATTTAAATAAGTTTAAATGACTGTTTAGTAAAGTTTTGTTTGCAAGCTGAACCATCTGTACACTTCTTTTTAATATACAACTATTTTAAATAAGAGAGAAAGCTAAGGAGGATCTCTGATGCTGAAATCTCACTGCTTTTAGTAGGAACTAGGAGTTTCATCCAGGTCTTCTAGATTCAGAGGCAAAAACTGGAACTATATGAGCCAGATTGTAGGGGATTCTACTTTTGGCTATTACTGTCTTCACCTTCATGACAGTCTCTTAACTTACAAGAAAATAGACCAAATAGGAAATAAATTGAGCTTCAAAAGGCTAGATTTTTATTTTAAAATGTGACTTATACCCAGAATCTGAAAATTGTAGTTTTTAAGCTTAGCCCTAGTGAGGCTGGAAGCGGTGACTCACGCCTGTAATCCCAGCACTTTGGGAGATTGAGACTGGAGGACTGTTTGAGCCTAGGAATTCAAGACCAGCCAGGGGAATATAGCAAGACCTTGTCTCTACACAAAATTTTTAAAAATTGACTGGTGTAAACCTGTGGTTCCAGCTACTTGGGAATCTGAGGTAAAAGGATTGCCCTGAGCCAGAGAGATCAAGGCTGTGGTGAGCTGTGATTGTGCCACTGCATTTCAGCCTGGACAATACAGTTAGACCCAACTCGAAAAAACAAAAAATTAGTCCTAGTGAAAAGATCATTCCCTCTAGCCATAGAGTCAATTTTTCCTTATCTTTTTAGGTAATATGTTAATTCTTATTTAACTTAATATCCAATTTTCTCTTTTGTAATCTGAATTCAGTTATGGTTTTGGCATAAATTATGCATACTTGTTTATATTTTTAAGATAGTCTCTCTTGCCTTAAGAACTTGGCCTTTTATAAGTCCTTTCAGAATACAAGTGCATTTCACTTCATCAGAACAGTATATACCTCAAAGTTGCATATTTATGGTATGCTGGTATTAACTATATTCTAAGTCAAAATCTTTTCCCTAGAGCTATTAGGATAGATTTTTTTTTAGTTAACTATGTTTCTTTCAGTGGATTACTTTAGTATTATCTATTATAAACACTAAGCACTAAACTTCAGATCTCCCAACCCCAGTTCCACATTTTTGTTTGCTGAATATTAACACAAGCCAAGTTAGCTTTAAATTTTTCTGTGTTTATATAATTCATAGTAACAGTCTTCTGTTCCTTAGGCTTATCATGGTCTATTTTATTTTATTTAACCATCAAGATCTATTGCTCCTTTATTCACATGTGCTTCATATATCTTTCCTTTCCGTCTTCACTATCCTAAGGTGAGCACTAACACTTTACTTTGAAACTGTTATAATAAGTTCGCTTATTACAATAACTGTTGCTTCCAGTTTGTGACCTCTTGAGTATACTTTGTATACCTTGACGAATGAGTCTTTCTGAAACTCCACTTTCTTATTACTGCACTACTCACAAACTTTTATAAGTTGTACTCAGAATAGTTTTAACCTTCAAATTCCCTAGTCTAACATTTAAGATTCTATAATTTGTCCTTATAGTTCCAGCCTTCCCTTTTACTGCTCCCTATTCATACTCTTTATTCCAGTCAAACGATCTACTTAGTATGCAATATTTATATCTGGTACTTCCTACTTACCCATATTATCTTCCTCAGCCAAATTGTCCTCCCAATTGCTTTCCTTTTTTGAATGAATATTTTCCACTGTTTAAAGTTCATTCCAGGGCTCAAATCCTCTGGTTACTTTTCATGATTGCCTTTGTTTGAACTTCCCTAGTACTTTTCATATCTCATTTGTCCCATATTGCCTTGTGTTGTGAGTGTGTGTGTGTAACTTCTATACACTATTTTATTTCACTATTTATTTTTTGTTGGCTAAAGTGGTGGATCACCTGAGCCCAGAGGTCGAGTCTGTAGTGAGCCATGATCGTGCCACCATACTCCAGCCTGGGCTACAGAGTGAGACTCCACCTCAAAAACAAACAAACAACCTAATCTCAGAAATCACACACTGCCACTTGTATAGTATTTTATTGGCACACAGGTCAGCCCTATTTAGTGTGGGAGGGGACTGCATAAGGGTATGACCACCAGGAAGTGAGGGTCATTAGATCTGTATTGGTAACTGGTTGCCACAGGCTGAATAAGAGATCTGGTACTAGAGGGGGTTCCAGGGGTCAGGGGTCATGAAGGAAGAAACTTACAGGTCTAAAGTTTGAGAACCATGGAACCTTGGGAGTATATTAGTTTCCTAGGGCTGCCATAATGAAGTATCACAAAGAAAATGACTTAGAACAACAGCAATTTATTTTCTCCCAGTTCTGGAAGCCAGAGATTCAAAATCAAGGTGTTGGCAGAGTTGACTCCTTTTGGAGACTCTGAAGGATAATTCACTCCTAGGCTCTCTCCTTGGCATTCCTGTACTTGTAAGCACATCATTCCAATTTCTATCTCTGTCTTCATATGGCCATCTTCTCTATGTGCATGTGTCAAATCTCCCTCTCCTTCCTCTCTTTTCTTTCATTTTTGAGTTGTCACCTAGGCTGAACTGAGTGACAGGATCATGGCTTACCACAGCCTTGATCTCCTGAACCTAGGCAATCTTTCCACCTTAGTCTCCCAAGTATCTGGGACTACAGGTGAACACTACCATACCTGGCTAATTTTTTGATTATTTTGTAGAGACAGGGTCTCACTATGTTGCCTAGGCTGATCTCAAACTCCTGGGCTTAAGCAATCCTTCCAAAGTGGTCTCCCAAAGTGCTGAAATTGCAAGTGTGAGCAGCTCTATATACTGTTTTTATTTCTCCAATTAGATGGCACACTCTTGGCAAGTATCATGTCTTATACTTGTTGTATATCCTGTGGTATTTAGCATAGGGTTAACTAAGCAGATGGCAAATCTCTAGTAGCTCCTGTATTTATCACCTCATTCTGAAAATGACTTTAGGTAGCATATAAAGATACAGACAACTTCTTGAGATAAAATATATTACAAGGGGCTGAGAAGGAAGAGAAAATGAGGATAGGAGAGAAAAAAGATTAAACCAGGAGCAAGGTTAGTGTTCCAAGGAGAAGTCACAATATTCTGTACTTTGTTAGAAATGGGGACCATTATTTGCTCTGAGCTTTCTGTCAGCCATCAGAAAGAGGGAATCAAAAAACCATGTACCTGAATTGCAGTATCCTTATTTAGGAGAAAAGAAGAAAGAAAAATTACCTGCTCAAGACAAGAATAGTTATGCTTTAAATATTGAGGCCTATAAGAAATTTCGTCTGTGTTCTCATATAGAGGAAGGACACTATATAGTTATGAAACATCTATGACTTCTCTAAAAAAAAAATGTTTTATAGGGTTTTTGCTTAGCTGTCCCTTGATGTAAATGCACATAGCAAAAAAACTGTTGAATTCACTATAACTATCACTGCCAGGAATTAAAATGCAGCCCAGGCACACAGCTTACTGATGATCTGTTCTTTTCTAAGGATAATATTTAGAGTATCTTGACTAGATGAGTGAGAGGGTTGTATAAGGAGTATGTTTTTGCTTTAAATTAAAACAAAACAAAAAATATGTTTTTAGTGTTTGGTTAAAAAATAAAGCTATATGGCAAATAATTTGTCACTAAATTCTACAGTGTTTGTTGGGGAAACCTAGGAGTGGCACCACCCCACCCCTTTCTTCTTCTCCTGAAGCAATTTGCTGTCAACCCTTTTAGCTTTTTTTTTTTTTAATTTCCTCAGTATCTAATTATTATGCTTATATTGCATTTTGGCTTTTTCATTTGTTGTATTAACTCTTGACTTTCTTTACACTAACAGGATTTAGCTCTCTTTACTCCCTCTGCTCTCACAGTATGTATGCACATTTTCAATACACAACTCCTTCCTCATTCTCTGTAATTTAATTTTAATTTTGGTCACATCAACTCAGAGTTTACATTTTTATGACTACAAATGCTATTAGAGCTGAGGTGTGTTATTTTATTTTTCTCAACATCCTTCTGTTCTTCGAGTGAATTGTACTGTTGTTGTTGCCTAGTTTTCTTTGTACTGATCAATGTAATTTATCCCCAGAAGTACTGCCATTTGCTCACCTCTCCTCTCAAAATATTTATTCTTGTCAATTTCATCTTCGTGAGGAAAATTCTCCTGGAGCCCCTCATTTGCTCCTATATGAACCAGTTGCCTTGTACTCCTAGGACACTCTCCATCGTTGAATATTTCTCTTAACCTGTCTTTTATGTTAGATCTCCTGTTTCTTATACTCTGTGTCTTTCGATTTTTGGTTTTGTGCCATTGTTTCGTTGGAATAAATTATTCAGTGGCTCCCTAAGAAAAGATACATGGGAGGTAAATTTATTTAAAATGTCTTTTTATTTCTCATACCTGATTGATAGTTTGACTGAGTTTAGAATTTTCAACTGAAAATAATTTTCCTTCAAAATTGTAGCCGGGCTCGGTGGCTCAGCCTGTAATCCTGCGCCTTTGGGAGGTTGAAGTGAGTGGACTGCCTGAGCCCGCGGGTTCGAGACCTGTCTGGGCAGGCGAGACCTCATCTCTACAATAAATTTTTAAAAATTAGCCAGGCGTGGCAGCAGCTACTTGGAAGGTTGAGGCGGAAGGATCGCAGGAGCCCAGCAGGTCGAGGCTGCGGTGACTGGGAGCGGCCACTGCACTCCAGTCTGGGCGACAGAGTGAGACTCCAACTCAAAAAAAAAAAAAATTGTG